TTATTTTGCAGTCTACACCATGTATTTAGAGCTTTTTAAAATATTTCTTTTTGGCATGTTTGTTCAAAGTGCAAAACTAGCTTAAAGTATGGTGATGTTGGGCTTATTAAAAAAAGTACTTTTTAGCTCACCTGGCCCGAAGGGCCAAGTGAGCTTTTCTCATCACTTGGCGTCCGTCGTCCGTCGTCGGCGTTAACTTTTTACATTTTGAACTTCTTCTAGAGAACCACTGAATGGAATGAAACCAAACATGGCATGAATGTTCCTTATGAGGTGCTGATCAAGTGTTGTTACTTTGTAGCCGATCCATCATCCAAGATGGCCGCCAGCGGGGGACTTAGTTTAACATAGGACCCTATGGGAAATGCATACAAATGACTTCTTTTAGAGAACCACTGAATGGAATAAAACCAAACATGGCATGAATCTTCCTTATGAGGTGCTCACCAAGTGTTGTTACTTTGTAGCCGATCCATCATCCAAGATGGCCGCCAGCGGGGGACTTAGTTTAACATAGGACCCTATGGGAAATGCATACAAATGACTTCTTTTAGAGAACCACTGAATGGAATAAAACCAAACATGGCATGAATCTTCCTTATGAGGTGTTGACCATGTGTTGTTACTTTGTAGCCGATCCATCATCCAAGATGGCCGCCATCGGGGAACTTAGTTTAACATAGGACCCTATGGGAAATACATACAAATGTCTTCTTTTAGAGAACCACTGAATGGAATGAAACCAAACATGGCATGAATGTTCCTTATGAGGTGCTGACCAAGTGTTGTTACTTTGTAGCCGATCCATCATCCAAGATGGCCACCAGCGGGGGACTTAGGGATCATAGATTTATTCTGACGAGGATGCTCCGAGCATGCTCGGAGGATGCTCGGAGCTTTTTAAAAAGGCTCTTCTCAGCAGTTTATGTGACAATAATTATCATGATCCATTAAGATGTCAATCAAATCTACACCACTTCTATAATAAGGAAAGTAAAGCATTATAGAGGAAGCTCAATTAACACCTGTGTAAACATCTGGTCTATTCAAATACGTTTTGCATGAAATTTTACAAAACTATAAAATAGATTAGAAATTCTTCAACAGTACTGTGTAATGCTTTGAAAGAAATCTCAAGTCTCAACAAAAAGTAAAAGTCATTTAAATATTTTCTTATTATATTTAATAATCATTCCTTTTTTATAATAAAAAATTCTGAAATTTTATAATTAGATGATACTATTTAAAAATAAATATGCTACATAAAAATTATCAAGACACAAACAGCAGTCAGGTGTCGATACTAAACAAGTTATTTTTTTTAGTCACTTATATAAGTATATATTTTTTTAAACTATTTAATAACTCAATAGTTATTTTAAATGTCGTATGTCAAATGAAGCATGGACTAAATGTATATAAGAATTTTTATATCATTTCATTAAATAAAATTAAGTATTTACCCAATTTTAGATAAGTATAGAGAGGTTACTATAAAAATAATGACAAACATATTACTTTTAAATCTATAGCACTTCTATTATAAGGAAAGTAGAGCATTATAGAGGAAGCTCAATTAACACCTGTGTAAAACATCTGGTCTATTCAAACAAATCTTGCTTTAATTTTACAAAACTATAAAATAGATGAGAAATTCTTCAATATTACTGTACAATGCTTGGTATCAAGTCTGCATAGAAAGAAAATGGGTTCTTAATAATTATCATTCTATTTCAATACACATGATACAAAAAAATACTAAAATTTTATATTTGAAATATAAATATATTTTAAATTTTTACTATACAAAATGAAAATATAAAAGTCATCAAAGACACAAACTATGGTTATTGATTTATAACCATACTACCAAAACATAGTTTATTCAGTTTCATGCGAAAAAGGATTGATCTTTTTTTATATTCCATTTATTTTTACAGTTGAGGGGAATGAACCCTCCATTTCATTGCAGAAAATTTTGTTTTGAGTCGTAAACATGTATCTTGGGTGTCTCAAAGTAATAAAAATATTTTATTTTGTAAACAGGGAAAAAAGGGGGAGAGGATTTGATTGGTTAACTTTTGGTGATGTCTACTTTCTTATATGCACTGAAAAGTTATGTTATATTTTACTGTAATACAGGACAGGATAAAACTTATTTGTCAAGTATTTCTTTATCTAAAACATGGATAAATTCTGTACATTTTTTTTTTGAAATATAACAATTAAACAAAGACTTATAGGGGGAAAATAATTTTACTCATACCATATATTTCTTTATTTAAAACAAAGCTAAATCCGCACAATTTAAAAAAAAATCAATTAAAGATAGACATACTAGAGGGATAACAATGGTGGTATTACCCCCTCAAACCAGGTTTCACGAATGAATTACATCTTTTCATAAAGTAGCCATAATGTTCTGTTAAAGAACTTAGTTTGCTATTTAAAGAAAAAAACATATTTCCATTGTTTAGTTAGGGGCATTACTACTTTAACAAGTAATTTTCAAAATTACCTACACAAGTAATGTGGAAAATGAGGCTGTTTCAAATATTACTTCTATATCATGAATAAGTAACTTCTGTTAATATTATTTTTATAGGTGTCCATTCATACAGGTTTTAATAGATTTAACAAATTTTCACAGACATCTGGTTATTTTCCCCATGAAATATAAAACTATTTAAATCCTTCACAAGCACTAATTACCTTTCTGATGCCACACTTCTTGGTCAAAGATTGGCCTCTTGTGGCTATTAAAATACCATTTCCCCTTAAAATCTTAGAGATAGACAGATATAACTAGATGGAACCTTGTGATTTAATTAAAACTTGAAGTTATTTATAAATTGAATATTAATCAAAAACAATTACATATATGTTCCTTAAATAATTGTAAATACTAATTTTTTTGAAGTTGTATAAAATAATTTATAAAAGTAATATTTTTGTCATTATTTTTAAAGTTACCTCTCTATACTCATCTCAAATTGGGTAAATACTAAATTTTATTTCATTAAATGATATAAAAATTCTTATATACATTTAGTCCATGCTTCATTTGACATTAAAAATAACTATTGAGTTTAAATATTATATAGTTAAAAAAAAAATACTTATATAAGTGACTAAAAAAAATAACTTGTTTAGTATCGACACCTGACTGCTGTTTGTGTCTTGATAATTTTTATGTAGCATATTTATTTTTAAATAGTATCATCTAATTATAAAATTTGAGAAGTGTTTATTATAAAAAAGTAATGATTATTAAATATAATAAGAAAATATTAAATGACTTTTACTTTTTGTTGAGACTTGAGATTTCTTTCCAAGCATTACACAGTACTGTTGAAGAATGTCTATATTTCTATTTTATAGTTTTGTAAAATTTCATGCAAAATGTATTTTAATAGACCAGATGTTTACACAGGTGTTAATTGAGCTTCCTCTATAATGCTTTACTTTCCTTATTATAGAAGTGGTGTAGATTTGATTGACATCTTAATGGATCATGATAATTATTGTCACATAAACTGCTGTAAAGAGCCTACTTAAAAAGCTCCGAGCATCCTCCAAGCATGCTCGGAGCATCCTCGTAAGAATAAATCTATGATCCCTTAGTTTAACATAGGACCCTATGGGAAATACATAAAAATGTCTTCTTTTAGAGAACCACTGAATGGAATGGAACCAAACATGGCATGAATGTTCCGTATGAGATGCTGACCAAGTGTTGTTACTTTGCAGTCGGTCCATCATCCAAGATGGCCGCCAGCAGGGGACTTAGTTTAACATAGGACCCTATGGGAAATACATACAAATGTCTTCTTTTAGAGAACCACTGAATGGAATGAAACCAAACATGGCATGAATGTTCCTTATGAGGTTCTGACCAAGTGTTGTTACTTTGTAGCCGATCCATCATCCAAGATGGCCGCCAGCGGGGGACTTAGTTGAACATAGGACCCTATGGGAAATACATACAAATGTCTTCTTTTAGTGAACCACTGAATGGAATGAAACCAAACATGGCATGAATCTTCCTTATGAGATGCTGACCAAGTGTTGTTACTTTGTAGCCGATCCATCATCCAAGATGGCCCCCAGCGGGGGACTTAGTTTTACATAGGACCCTTTGGGAAATACATAAAAATGTCATCTTTTAGAGAACCAATAAATGGAATGGAACCAAACATGGCATGAATGTTCCTTATGAGATGTTGACCAAGTGTTGTTACTTTGCAGCCGATCCATCATCCAAGATGGGCGACAGCGGGGGACTTAGTTTAACATAGGACCCTATGGGAAATACATACAATTGTCTTCTTTTAGAGAACCACTGAATGGAATTGAACCAAACATGGCATGAATGTTCCTTATGAGTTGCTGACCAAGTGTTGTTACTTTGCAGTCGATCCATCATCCAAGATGGCCGCTAGGGGGGGGGGGCTTAGTTTAACATAGGACCCTATGGGAAATACATACAAATGTCTTCTTTTAGAGTACCACTGAATGGAATGAAACCAAACATGGCATGAATGTTCCTTATGAAGTGCTGACCAAGTGCTGCTACTTTGTTGCCGATTTACTGTTCAAGATGGCCACCAGGATATTTTATTAAATAACGGGACCAATATTAATCAAAATTTGGCCTCAATCATTATTTGGGTATCTGTTATGATTTTTATCTATCTTTACATGATTTCTAAAACCAAAGTAGAGTCAGGTGAGCGACACAGGCTCTTGAGAGCCTCTAGTTTATGGACATTGTTTTTTTTTGCTGTGCATGTACTGGTTTTGTGTCCTAGATGGATATCCCATATCCTTTCTTTTCTATTACTCTTATCACTTGGCATCAGGCATCCAATCATGTTGTCCGTTGTCATCATTCGTTAGCTTTGTTGTTTTTGATATGCATATTTTCTATTCTAATATGTCTGTATGTTGGTAAAACTTAATCATTTTTTGTAAATACATGTGAATGTTTTCATTTTCAGATTTCCGATGGGTAGCTAAAGACATATGTGAAGTGCATTTACAAGTATTTAACCCTATGCCAGAAGAACTCAAAATTACGCAAATGGTATGATGATTTCATAAACATGCTTTAGTACAATATATCTAAAAACATGTGGTTTACAATCAGAACAATTCATCTATTCACTTACCAGTTTTCTTGAAAGTGGTTAATTAGTTTTATGTTAAAGCTGTTTTCTTAATGCTAGCAAGTTAAAGACTTGGTTGACTTGCTTGCTTTGTTTGTATAAATTTTTGCTCAAACATCGTAACTAAGATTGACATCCGCTATCAATAGATAGGCAGGGTTTCAGCTTGTATACATTATACTTATAAATGTTTTTGGAAGTTAAGCAATGTATACAAGTTGAAGCCCCGCTATCTATTGATAGCAGATGTCAATCTTAATTACAATGCTTGAGCAAACATTTATACAAACAAAGCAAGCAAGTCAATCAAACCTTTAACTTGCTAACATAAGGAAAACAGCTTTAAGAGTTATGCAAGAGATAGTTTATAGTATAGATATTTAATTTCTTGATTTTACAAAAGTTTGCATACAAGCCTATAGAAAATACGTACTTTGTTGAACATTTAAATTTGAGGTTAGCTTGTACCCATGAAATCCACAAAAATTGATATCCCTCAAATAATAATGATTCCACAGTAAACAGTATACTGTGGATTCATTTATTTTCGTGGGTACCTATTTTCGTGGATTGAGGAAAACTTGCATTTTCGTGGATATTTAATTTCATGGTTTTGATAAAGTCTGCATACATTCCTATAGAAAATTTGTAATTCGTTGAACACAGTATTGCAATTTAAATTTGAATGCATGGAAATATTTACCGACAATTTCAAATGTGATAATAGTAAGGCATATTAATTAAGGAAAATAAAGAAATTGAAAAAAAGAAGAGAGAAAAGCTAAAATGATGATAGTTAGTGACGTGTATGTGTGTATTTTTAACCACCATCTTCACAATACACTTTTGAATCTAAAGACCCGAAGCTGAGTTTTAAGAAAATTTTAGTTAGATTGTTTTGGCCTGTGGTGATGATTTTTACAGGCCCGACAGAAGTTTACAAGCCTGGGCTGGTGGGCCTGTGGTTGAGTGCGAAGACTGTAACCATCTGGTATTTCTCATGGAGATGTTGAGTTTACATCAATAAGACAGCAACCAAACAGTAAACAAAGATATCTAGATGGCCACATGTGGTCATCAATGATAAGACTATTTTCTAAATCCCCAAGAGTCTACAAAAGTAGTGAATTAATTTAAACAGAGACTATATGAAAGATGATCCATTACACAGCTAATTCCCCAAAAGGAAGAAAAACATGATATGGCAAAAGACAATCACTGATGAGTGACAGTGTCATACTTCATAGGTTAATGTTTCGAAAAACTGTTTTTCTATAGACTTACAATTTACAGACATGATTTTTTATTCTTTATAGGGTTTGTTGATAGAGGGTGTAGAAATGGAGATGTACCCTACTAATCCAGTGATACCTGCTGAATCTGGACCTTATCTAGTCAAAATGTTATGTCGACCAAAGTCTCACGGAGAACTAAATATATTAGGTATGATAATAACACCTTATAACCATTTGCTGCCACTACTTGGCATCTCAGTTAAGATTTTTATATCTTGTCTCCTGCAACAAAGCAAAATTGATTATTGAATGATGTCATGCTTTCCCCTTACTTCATTATTGTGACGTAACAATAGAGAAAAAACAGGATCCTTTTTGTCGAGCCTGCGACTTTTGTCGCAAAAGCAAGACATAGCGATCCTATATTCCGTCATCGGAATGTGGTTAAAGTTTTTGAAGTTTTAATAACTTTCTTAAACTATCCTGGATTTCTACCAAACTTGGACAGAAGCTTGTTTATGATCATAAGATAATATCCAGAAGTAAATTTTGTAAAAATAAAAATCCTGTTTATCCGTATTTTACTTATAAATGGACTTAGTTTTTCTGCCAGTTAACATTACATTCACTCGAGCTCTGTGGTTATTATAAATTTTAATAACTTTCTTAAACTATCCTGGATTTTTACCAAACTTGGACAGAAGCTTGTTTATGATCAAAAGCTAGTATCTAGAAGGAAATTTTGTGAAAATTTATTTCCTGTTTTCCGTATATTACTTATAAATGGACTTAGTTTTTCTTCCAGTTAACATTACATACAGTCTGCAGTTAAAGCTTTTAAAACATTTACTAGATTCATAAACAAAGGAGTAGGCCCGGTAAGACCCCCTTTTGGCCCCAAAATATAGCATTTTTACCAATTTGTTAAAATGTAAACTTTTAGCTATTTATTGGAAAGAAGAATACTTCTGTTCCATAAATATTGGCTGTTATTGACAATACAATGCACATGCATCAGGTAATAACATCATAAATTCATGCAATATTATAAAAAATTTGTCCGATGACCCCACCTTCCAACCATCATGGCCGACTTGGTTAAAAATAGAACATAGGGGTAAAATGCAGTTTTTGGTTTATATCTCTGAAACTAAAGCATTTAGAGCAAACCTGACAGGTGGCAAAAATGTTCATCAGATTTAGATTTATCTGCCCTGAAATTTTCAGACGAATCCGACAACCTGTTGTTGGGTTGCTGCCCCTGAGTTAGTAATTTTACAAAAATTTTGCAGTTTTTTGTTATTATCTTAGATATCATTATAATATCTAATATCTAATACTATTTATTATGATTTTAACCTTATTTTACATGATTTCCAAAGCATCAGTAAATACAGGTGAGCGACACAGGCTCTTGAGAGCCTCTAGTTTACAAGCATAATTTTTGTCATACATTTCAAACGTTTTATTTCATTAACTGTAAATCTATTATGTGCATTCCCCTATCACACTGAAAACATAGACAACAGCAAAAGTAGGTGAGACACTGGGTTCCGCGGAACCCTTACGAATTTTTCATATGGTTAGGGAAAAATAAGATTAGATCTGCCTCCATATCTTTATAAAAATCATTAGAGAAATAGATTCAACCACAGAATTGTTCTTTTTTTTTTATTTAACTGTCTCAAGAGGAAAAATAGTATATCACACTGGATAATGTCATCATAGATACTATGATTAAAAGTGCATTGTTAAAATCTATAAAGATTAAATGAAATATATAAAAATATCAGTTATATCAGAAGAGGTACATACAGCAGCATGTAAATTCCATTTTTTTTCCAGGTTACACAACTTTAGTGTATGGTGTCCACAGTAACTGCCGATTAAAAGACATTCCTCATTTACATGAAACACAATCAAAAGTTGAAATAATACCTCCATTACCAAATGTTCAAGTCAAATCCTCTTTTCCTCAGTCAGCCATGTTTATTACTGAATCAGATGGTGCGAATGTTGTGACGACTGCTTCTGCCTCTTTATATGCAGGTCAAAGGTAAGTTTATTGGTAGCTAGGATGTTTTGTCTTTTAGAATTCTTAAATGATTTGAAGGTAGGCACCAAAGAAAAAAAGACCCACAACATCTATGATGAATTCATATGATGAAATATGTGCAAGGGCTAAAAAAGGATGAAAAAAAATCTTGATAAAACTAAGAAATATTTTTTTAATAGTAAATACATGTACTGTCAAATCATTGGCAAATAGTTAAATGTTGGAATAGTTTGAAATATATATGAAATCCATTAATTATTACAAATAGTTAAAATGGGTTCATAGTCGAAGGCAAAACTTTTTGCTTGAAAACATATTAAGTTTACCACAAATGATAAGTACTTGAAAATAAAATTGTGTATAAGAATCTAATTACTGTAAATTCAGAAATTATTGCACGCATTTATTATTGCGAATTTTTTAGAAAGGACTAAAACGTGAGATTAATTATTGCAATTTCAGAAAAAATGTGCATACAGTTATATGTATCAGATATAAGAATGCGAGTTCTTATTAATGGGATACTCTTTCAATTGCATTATTCGCATTAATAAAAACCTTGCATTAATTTCTGAATTTACAGGAATACAATATTTTATAAACAAGCTGTTTAATAGTATCTTAAAGTATGTTTTATTTCATCTTAAGTATTCTATATAAAAAAGAAGATGTGGTATGATTGCCAATGAGACAACTCTTCACAAGAGACCAAATGACACGAAATTAACAACTATAGGTCACCGTAAGGCCTTCAACAATGAGCAAAGCCCATACCGCATAGTCAGCTATAAAAGGCCCCGAAATAACAAATGTAAAACAATTCAAACGAGAAAACTAACAGCCTAATTTATGTACAAAAAAATGAATGAAAAACAAATATGTAACATATCAACAAACGACAACCACTAAATTACAGGCTCCTGACTTGGGACAGGCACATACAAGTATACATAGTTTTAAACTTACTAGATATATTTAATTGTCATTTAAGAATGTTTGATAACAATTTATTTAATTTTCAGTGAAGAATGTTTGATAACAGTTCACAACACTAGTGTTCAGCCTGTTGAGAGAGTTGAAGTCAAACTTAGGTGTAAATCTGAAGAGAAGAGTAAGTGTACAGGAAAAAAATTATCACCATTTTTGATTTGATTTGATTTGATTTTTGCTGTTTTAACGCCACTTTTAAGCACCGCTTTTGGGCTGTTTTGTGGCGGCCAGTTTTTATTGATGGAGGAAGCCGCAGTGCCTGGAGAAAACCACCGACCTTGGATAGAAAAACTGACAATCCTAAATTAAGATTGGAGTCGAGTGCACCCGGACGAGCGAGGCTCGAACTCACAACCTCAGTGTTGACTGGCTAGTGATTACAGTAGTAACTACTTAAACCACTTGGCCACCGAGGCCCCCTCACCATTTTTGAGACATACTACAAAAGTGCTGCAACAGTTATACACAATTTTCTGTTTTAGTTTATTAGTCCCCTACTGACGAAGTCGAAGGGGACTTTAGATTTGCACTCCATCTGTGTGTGTGTCTGTCTGTCCGTCCGTCCATCCGTCAGTCCGGCAAATCAGTTTTCCACACTTTTTTTCTTCGTACTTTAAGATATTGATTTGATATTTGGTATTTTGTTTTATCATGACAAGTTACAGATCAAGTTCAAATTTTGTTAAGGTCTGATGATTTTGTGCACTATGGTCCTTGGACTTACAAAATTAGTTTTCCACACTTTTTGTCATCATGCTTGAAGATATTGACCAAGTTCGAATTTTGTTCCGGTCTGATGATTTTGTGCAGAGTTATGGTCATTGGACTTAGAAAATTCACTTAAGTAATCAGATTTCACACTTTTTGTCATCTTGCTTGAAAATATTGCCTTGATATTTGTTATATAAATTACACCATGACAAGTTATAGATCAAGTTAGCATATTGTTCCAGTGCAATTAATTTTTAGCCGGTAGGGGACTGTGTATTGCCATGCAATACTCTCAGAATGCTTGTTTTTTTTCGAGCCTTCGACTTTTGTCAAAAAAGCGAGACATAGCGATCCTACATTCCGTCGGCGTCAACCACAAATATTCACTCTGTGGTTAAAGTTTTTGAAATTTTAATAACTTTCTTAAACTATCCTGGATTTCTACCAAACTTGGACAGAAGCTTGTTTATGATCATAAGATAGTATCCAGAAGTAAATTTTGTTAAAAAAAAATTCCTGTTTTTCCATATTTTACTTATAAATGGACTTAGTTTTTCTGCCAGGAAACATTACATTCACTCTGTGGTTAAAGTTTTTAAAATTTTAATAACTTTCTCAAACTATCCTGGATTTCTACCAAACTTGGACAAAAGCTTGTTTATGATCATAAGATAGTATCCAGAAGTAAATTTAAAAAAAAAAAATCCTGTTTTTCCGTATTTTACTTATTAATGGACTTATTTTTTCTGCCAGGAAACATTACATTCACTCTGTGGTTAAAGTTTTTAAAATTTTAATAACTTTCTTAAACTATCCTGGATTTGTACCAAACATGGACAGAAGTTTGTTTATGATCAAAAGCTAGTATCTAGAAGGAAATTTTTATTAAAATTTTGTACTTGTTTATCCATATTTTACTTATAAATGGACTTTTAACTATGAAAGTTTTTCTTGCAGTTAACATTAGATACAGTCTGCAATTAAATTTTTTAAAACATTTATTAGATTCATAAACTATCCTGGATTTTTACCAAACTTGGACAGAAGCTTCTTACAACAAAAAAATTGTATCGAGAGGAATATTTTTATTAAATTTTTTCCTCATCTCATTTTTGTTGAGCCTGTGATTAACAGCAAAAGTAGGCGAGACACTGGGTACCGCGGAACCCTTACGAATTTTTTACATGTAAGTTAGTTTTGAAATCCCAACCTTTTTTGATAGCTTCTGGCTTATTTTTTGTTGGAGTTAATACTTTTGTTCATTTGCTTGATTGGTGATTGAATTGATGCTTCTTTTATTATTTTATTGGGGTGTTAAAGCGTTAACTGAAGTACATTGCTGTGCTTCATATTAAAAATGGGTGCAACCTCAATGTTTTACAACCATATAAAATTATGAATAGAATAAAATTGAGAATGGAATTGTGGAATGTGTCAAAGAGACAACAACCCGACCAAAGAGCAGAAAACTGCCCAAGGCCACCAATGGGTCTTCAACACAGCCAGAAATTCCCGCACCCCCTGAGGCGGCCTTCAGCTGGCCCCTAAACAAAAATGTGTACTAGTTCAATGAAAATGTATGTCACACTAAACTCAGAAAGATATAAATGAACTAAAATTAAAAAACGTACAAGACTAACAAAGGCCAGAGGTTCCTGATTTGGGACAGGCGCAAAAATGTGGCGGGGTTAAACATGTTTTGTGAGATCTTAACCCTCCCCCTATACCTCTAGCCAATTTAGAATAAACAAACACACAGCAATAAGCACAGTAAAACTCAGTCTAAAAGAAGTCTGAGTCTGATGTCAGAATAGGTAACAGAAGAAACTTAGCAAAATGACAATGATAAATAAATTAACAAAGGACTACCATCAGTTATACTGACATGCCAGCTCCAGACCTCAATTGAACTGATTGAAAGATTATGTCTTCATCATATGAAAATCAAGTACAATCCCTCCTGTTAGGGGATTAGTATCATGCCATCATAAAATATATGAGAAGAACATAACCCGTATCATGCCAACAACTGGTTTTAGAGTAAATGTGTTTATTTCCGATGCAAAGACCTTATGAGTGAATCAATATTAATTCCAAAAGCATTCAAGTCTTATAATTACATTTTTATGCCACAACCATGAAATTAAGAGTTAGATCAAGCTTTTCCTTTGTTTTTCAAAGCATTAGCTTAATATTGTCATGGATAGCATGTGTAGTCTTAGCTGTTGTATATTATACAGAAATAAGATATGATAATGAAGTGCCTCGCGATTGTGGTCAGCCAATCAAAAATATGGATTCTAATGAATCATACATGTAATGTAATTATTTACAAAAATACAATGTGAATAAATGTCAGATTTAAAGATACATACAGGTGTGTACTACTACACTTGATAAACTTGACTACCCATGAGGGTCTTGCACAGTCTGTGAAGTACATATGAAATGGACTCATAACTTTGTTTTGCCTTAATTTTGCTAAAATTGCAACAGAGAGCTTTAAGAAATCCATGAACAAAATAAAAAGCTTTAAAATTATGACAAAATCAGGTGGGTAGTGTATGTAAAATGAGATTGAATGCAGAGAAACAGATAATCTTGGAAACCCTGTATGGTTGTACTTTCATTTAATGTATTTATATGGATCTTAGGTATTATAAATGAAATTTCAACTGTCATTACAAATATATTTTTTTTCTTAATCTAAAAGATGTATAATTTTGTTAACAAATGTTTAAATAACATTGAATCTCAGATTTACATACAATTTCTTTTTCTTTTTGCCATATATTTCTCCAAGATATTTAACTGGTGTTCAGATAATATAGAATCACAACTGCCTATACAGTTATTTTTTTTTCTCTTTACAGTGTATTTCTCCAAGATATTTAACTGGTATTCAGATAACATAGAATCACGACTGCCTATACAGTTATTTTTTTTTCTCTTTACAGTGTATTTCTCCAAGATATTTAACTGGTGTTCAGATAACATAGAATCACAACTACCTATACAGTTATTTTCTTTTCTCTTTGCAGTGTATTTCTCCAAGATATTTAACTGGTGTTCAGATAACATAGAATCACAACTACCTATACAGTTATTTTCTTTTCTCTTTGCAGTGTATTTCTCCAAGATATTTAACTGGTGTTCAGATAACATAGAATCATAACTGCCTATACAGTTATTATTTTTCTCTTTGCAGTGTATTTCTCCAAGATATTTAACTGGTGTTCAGATAACATAGAATCATAACTGCCTATACAGTTATTATTTTTCTCTTTGCAGTGTATTTCTCCAAGATATTTCACTGGTGTTCAGATAACATAGAATCACAACTACCTATACAGTTATTTTCTTTTCTCTTTGCAGTGTATTTCTCCAAGATATTTAACTGGTGTTCAGATAACATAGAATCACAACTACCTATACGGTTATTTTCATTTCTCTTTGCAGTGTATTTCTCCAAGATATTTTATAACTGGTGTTCAGATAACATAGAATCACAACTGCCTATACAGTTATTTTTTTTTCTCTTTACAGTGTATTTCTCCAAGATATTTAACTGGTATTCAGATAACATAGAATCACGACTGCCTATACAGTTATTTTCTTTTCTCTTTGCAGTGTATTTCTCCAAGATATTTAACTGGTGTTCAGATAACATAGAATCACAACTACCTATACAGTTATTTTCTTTTCTCTTTGCAGTGTATTTCTCCAAGATATTTAACTGGTGTTCAGATAACATAGAATCATAACTGCCTATACAGTTATTATTTTTCTCTTTGCAGTGTATTTCTCCAAGATATTTAACTGGTGTTCAGATAACATAGAATCACAACTACCTATACAGTTATTTTCTTTTCTATTTGCAGTGTATTTCTCCAAGATATTTAACTGGTGTTCAGATAACATAGAATCACAACTACCTATACAGTTATTTTCTTTTCTCTTTGCAGTGTATTTCTCCAAGATATTTAACTGGTGTTCAGATAACATAGAATCACAACTACCTATACAGTTATTTTCTTTTCTCTTTGCAGTGTATTTCTCCAAGATTTTTCACTGGTGTTCAGATAACATAGAATCACAACTACCTATACAGTTATTTTCTTTTCTCTTTGCAGTGTATTTCTCCAAGATATTTAACTGGTGTTCAGATAACATAGAATCACAACTACCTATACAGTTATTTTCTTTTCTCTTTGCAGTGTATTTCTCCAAGATATTTCACTGGTGTTCAGATAACATAGAATCACAACTACCTATACAGTTATTATTTTTCTCTTTGCAGTGTATTTCTCCAAGATATTTAACTGGTGTTCAGATAACATAGAATCACAACTACCTATACAGTAATTTTCTTTTCTCTTTGCAGTGTATTTCTCCAAGATATTTAACTGGTGTTCAGATAACATAGAATCATAACTGCCTTTACAGTTATTTTCTTTTCTCTTTGCAGTGTATTTCTCCAAGATATTTAACTGGTGTTCAGATAATATAGAATCATAACTGCCTATACAGTTATTATTTTTCTCTTTGCAGTGTATTTCTCCAAGATATTTAACTGGTGTTCAGATAACATAGAATCACAACTACCTATACAGTAATTTTCTTTTCTCTTTGCAGTGTATTTCTCCAAGATATTTAACTGGTGTTCAGATAACATAGAATCATAACTGCCTATACAGTTATTATTTTTCTCTTTGCAGTGTATTTCTCCAAGATATTTAACTGGTGTTCAGATAACATAGAATCACAACTACCTATACAGTTATTTTCTTTTCTCTTTGCAGTGTATTTCTCCAAGATATTTAACTGGTGTTCAGATAACATAGAATCACAACTACCTATACAGTTATTTTCTTTTCTCTTTGCAGTGTATTTCTCCAAGATATTTCACTGGTGTTCAGATAACATAGAATCACAACTACCTATACAGTTATTTTCTTTTCTCTTTGCAGTGTATTTCTCCAAGATATTTAACTGGTGTTCAGATAACATAGAATCACAACTACCTATACAGTTATTTTCTTTTCTCTTTGCAGTGTATTTCTCCAAGATATTTCAATGGTGTTCAGATAACATAGAATCACAACTACCTATACAGTAATTTTCTTTTCTCTTTGCAGTGTATTTCTCCAAGATATTTAACTGGTGTTCAGATAACATAGAATCATAACTGCCTATACAGTTATTATTTTTCTCTTTGCAGTGTATTTCTCCAAGATATTTAACTGGTGTTCAGATAACATAGAATCACAACTACCTATACAGTTATTTTCTTTTCTCTTTGCAGTGTATTTCTCCAAGATATTTCACTGGTGTTCAGATAACATAGAATCACAACTACCTATACAGTTATTTTCTTTTCTCTTTGCAGTGTATTTCTCCAAGATATTTAACTGGTGTTCAGATAAGATAGAATCATAACTGCCTATACAGTTATTTTCTTTTCTCTTTGCAGTGTATTTCTCCAAGATATTTAACTGGTGTTCAGATAACATAAAATCACAACTACCTATACAGTTATTTTCTTTTCTCTTTGCAGTGTATTTCTCCAAGATATTTCACTGGTGTTCAGATAACATAGAATCACAACTACCTATACAGTTATTTTCTTTTCTCTTTGCAGTGTATTTCTCCAAGATATTTAACTGGTGTTCAGATAACATAGAATCATAACTGCCTATACAGTTATTTTCTTTTCTCTTTGCAGTGTATTTCTCCAAGATATTTAACTGATGTTCAGATAACATAGAATCATAACTGCCTATACAGTTATTATTTTTCTCTTTGCAGTGTATTTCTCCAAGATATTTAACTGGTGTTCAGATAACATAAAATCACAACTACCTATACAGTCATCAAAGAAGATGTGTTTTAGTGTGTGTGTTTCTGGTCATTCTGATTTTCTTCTGTCTTCCTTCAGTAAACATTCATCTACTTCAGGTAAGAAAGATAAAAACACACCTCTTAAATATTTAGGTCTGCAAATGTTAACATAAACGGTTCAAATGAGAGGTCTATATTAAGCATAGAATTAAGCAGCACTGGTATTCCTATCTGAACTTTTCTTTTATATTGTATATGATTTTTATGCCCCCACTGTAGGCAACAGGGGCATTAAGTGCTACCCTGGACTGTTCATCCTTCCGTCCTTTTTTCCGTCTCTCTGTCCTTCCGTTCGTCCCATTTTAGTTTCCTCACTCTAACTTAGTTTGTCTCATCCAAAATTTATGAAACTCATACACATGCTAAGAACCAGAACACGCAGACAGAGTTGAATTCGGGCTGTGAGTAGTTTACTGTTTTAGAATTGTGCCCCTTTTTAACTTTGAAAATTGCAAAGCTTGAGGGGGACCATTCGTCTCCTCAGACACATTCTACTTTTATTTTTACACAAGTAGATCAGTTTTGATCTGGAGAGCAAAGAATACCTACCACATAGAGATATTATACAATTATAGCCTTGTATTAGGTTGATAAAGGATACCTACTACATAGAGATATTATACAATTATAGTCTTATATTAGATTGATAAAGGATACCTACCACATAGATATATTATACAATTATAGCCTTGTATTAGGTTGATCAAGAATACCTACCACATAGAGATATTATACAATTATAGCCTATATTAGATTGATAAAGGATACCTACCACATAGAGATATTATACAATTATAGCCTTGTATTAGGTTGATAAAGGATACCTACCACATAGAGATATTATACAATTATAGCCTTGTATTAGGTTGATAAAGGATACCTACCACATAGAGATATTATACAATTATAGCCTTATATTAGATTGATAAAGGATACCTACCACATAGAGATATTATACAATTATAGCCTTGTATTAGGTTGATAAAGGATACCTACCACATAGAGATATTATACAATTATAGCCTTGTATAAGTTGATCAAGAATACCTACCACATAGAGATATAATACAATTATAGCCTATATTAGATTGATAAAGGATACCTACCACATAGAGATATTATACAATTATAGCCTTGTATTAGGTTGATAAAGGATACCTACCACATAGAGATATTATACAATTATAGCCTTGTATTAGGTTGATAAAGGATACCTACCACATAGAGATATTATACAATTATAGCCTTATATTAGATTGATAAAGGATACCTACCACATAGAGATATTATACAATTATAGCCTTGTATTAGGTTGATAAAGGATACCTACCACATAGAGATATAATACAATTATAGCCTTGTATTAGGTTGATCAAGGATACTTACATGTACCACCTTGTAAAAAACCTTGCATTAGGTTGATTAAAGAATAATTTAATTTTGGATATAACACGTCTTCTGGTTGGCTGAAAGTGTTTTGTCTATCAGTTCATTGACATAATTTTGTCATATATATTTATGGATCTCTATGAAATTTAAGAAAAAGGTTCAAAACCACAAAAGGAAGGTTGGGATTGTTTTTGGGGTGATGGTCCCAACCATTTAGGAATTAGGGGCCAAAAGGTGCCCAAAACAAACATTTTTCCAGTTTCAGGACAATAACTTGTGTATAAGTATTTTTTTTGGGGGGTCAATATTTTTTCCTCAAGATTTAAGAAATTGTCAATTTTCCAAAGAAAAATTAGGGGTCACAATTTATTTTGCTAATTCTTTGTATATAGTCTGAAAACAGATTTACTAAGTATTGCGCAACAGCACAGTGTATTGAACAAAAGCAAGAAATCTTCAATTGAATATAAATTCAAATCATGTAACCAATTTCAAGTTCTTTGACTACATTTATTCTGTGTCAGAAACCTATAATATGTCAAATATAAATATTTAATTACAATTCAAATTCAGACCTGTATCAAGCTTGAATAATGTGTCCATTTTTGCCCCAACTATTCATGGTTGGACCTCTGCGGTCATATCCAGTTGCGCTCGGTGAAGCAGTTTATTTATCATATTTTAAAAATGTGATAAAAGCAATAAGTGTTTTAATTTCAATACAAAGAAAATTTGTGTTCTTCATTTGTAAAATTCCAGATTTTAAATTAGAAGAGAACTTTTAACTGCATATTTTACATGTTTTGTCAGATTAAAAAAAAATTAAAGACGAAAGGTTTCAGCACTGACTCTGTAATTGTTTTTGTTTAACAGGTAGTGAAGTAAGTGAAAATACTAGTGCTGTGATAAAAGACACTGTTGTTCATAAGGTAAGTACATCAAGGGATACAGCTGTATGAGTAGAAACTGGGTCAAATTCCGACCTGTGACCTTAAGGCGTTTTGCTAGCAACCTGAAAATCTCATTTAAAAGGACCTTTGACCTTTGAAAATGTTCAAAACCGAGAATCAAATCAGTTTAGAAATGTTTAGTTTGCCTAAATTGAGCTGGGTTTTTGGGTTGCCTTCTCATCGACATAAATGCTGCATCTTGTTTTATTCATAATAACAATGTTCTGCACAATGTTTTATGTTTTCCAAAGTGATTGAACCTAAAGGAAGGACGGTGATGGACAAATAACTGATACTTATATTAGGTGAATCCAAACATAAAAAAGTACAACAATAATACTGAACTGTAAGGTAAATTCAAAAAGGTGAAGTCTATAAAATCTGACAAAATCAAGGGTAATTCACCAATGGAACGTGTGAAAAACAATTTTATATTCATGACTTGGTACAGGCATTTTCTGAAGAAAAAGGTGGGTTAAACCTGATTTTATAGCTAGCTAAACCTAAAAACTATAAACTAAAAGATAAAGGTATGCTTTATGGTATTAATAATTTTAAAACAAGATTTCAATACATGTATCATATTTCAGTGTTTTGAGACAACACTCCAGATACAGTATAGTGGTGGAGAGGGATTAATGTCTGGATTCTGTAGACTCTGTTCCATAGCTTTTACTGTAGATATTTTACCGTCTGTGATATTTGTCAATTGGGATGTTCTTCCTGCTGAGGGGTAAGTGAAACCACTGTGTTAGTGGTGGAAAAGGCCTGAGGGGTAAGTGAAGCCACTGTGTAAGTGGTGGAAAAGGCCTGAGGGGTAAGTGAAGCCACTGTGTAAGTGGTGGAAAATGCCTGAGGGGTAAGTGAAGCCACTGTGTAAGTGGTGGAAAAGGCCTGAGGAGTAAGTGAAGCCACTGTGTTAGTGGTGGAAAAGGCCTGAGGGGTAAGTGAAGCCACTGTGTAAGTGGTGGAAAATGCCTGAGGGGTAAGTGAAGCCACTGTGTAAGTGGTGGAAAAGGCCTGAGGAGTAAGTGAAGCCACTGTGTAAGTGGTGGAAAAGGCCTGAGGGGTAAGTGAAGCCACTGTGTAAGTGGTGGAAAAGGCCTGAGGGGTAAGTGAAGCCACTGTGTAAGTGGTGGAAAAGGCCTGAGGAGTAAGTGAAGCCACTGTGTAAGTGGTGGAAAAGGCCTGCAGAGTAAGTGAAGCCACTGTGTAAGTGGTGGAAAAGGCCTGAGGAGTAAGTGAAGCCACTGTGTAAGTGGTGGAAAAGGCCTGAGGAGTAAGTGAAGCCACTGTGTAAGTGGTGGAAAAGGCCTGAGGAGTAAGTGAAGCCACTGTGTAAGTGGTGGAAAAGGCCTGAGGGGTAAGTGAAGCCACTGTGTAAGTGGTGGAAAAGGCCTGAGGGGTAAGTGAAGCCACTGTGTAAGTGGTGGAAAAGGCCTGAGGAGTAAGTGAAGCCACTGTGTAAGTGGTGGAAAAGGCCTGAGGGGGTAAGTGAATCCACTGTGTAAGTGGTGGAAAAGGCCTGAGGGGTGAGTGAAGCCACTGTGTAAGTGGTGGAAAAGGCCTGAGGTCAAAATCAGCATGGCTGTGTAAGTTTAAGTGTGGCTTAATATATGTTCAGATTTTACAGTCCTTATATTCCTGATTTGACATAGGTTCCTGCTTAGAACAGAGTGTAGCATCCAAAGGTGGATCCAAGGTTCAGGTAAAGGGAGACATAAATTTCAGTCATGGTATTAAATAATAGTGTAGAGCGTAGGGAGGCAATTTTGTTTAAGATTTCTTGTTAAGAATGTTATATTATAGAACAATAGGAGGGTTGGGCATACACTGTCTACTCGCCCTACCTGATTCTGCCTATTACATCTATCATATATTGATTGGCAATATTAATTTCGCTTTACAATCTTATTAAAAAAAAACTCACTGAACACAAAGTTTGAAAATTTTATAGTTTATATAATTTGCCTTCATCTTTTGGAATAAATTTGTTTGTTATTCCTTATGATAATTTTTGTTTATCGGTCAACCTAATTTGTTTGAGACACCAATGTATTTGTGCTACAATTGTGCTTTCGGGACACTAAACAAAAACTTAATCATTATTTCTTATTATTATCACTATGTCCGAGTATATTGATGACACATTTATTTTTATATTACAGCCCTGACCACTGTGTTTTAGTATTTGATGTGAAGAATGTGAGTGGTCATCAGATAGAAGTACAGTACACTGCTGATCAAAATGTTATCTTAGAACCAGAAGAAGTGAGAAGGTATGGATAAAAAAGGATAAAACCCAGTATTAAAGTCACTTAAGTTTATTTTTTATTTCTGTAAATCGAAAATTTTGTGGCGTATAGAATTGAAAAATGTTGAGCAATCGACACAAATGCATAGTTAAATATTGCCATGCCAGCAAATGCTGCATAGAAATAATGTTACTAAAATTTAAAGTGAGTTTTTTTTGGGGGTGGGGACCTATCCTGTGGCTATATATTTTAGCAATAATAAATAATTGAAAAATTTCTGAATTTACAGTATTTTATTATTATGTTTTAATAATTACTTTATTAATTATAGTATAGAAATTCATAATTATGTGTTTTCTGTTATCTTTATCAACTGTCTGGTCCCAAAAATAAGTTATTTAAAAATTTCTGTAATTACAGCTTTTGACTATTATGTTTTTATTCATAGATCAGAAATTCATTATAATGTGTTTTCTGTTAACTTTATCAACTGTCTGGTCACCAAAACATGTAATTTGCAGCTATGAAATATGGAACTGAATGTGACAAATTTGCAGATATGAAATATGGGATTGATTGTGACAAATTTGCAGATATGAAATATGGGATTAATTATGACAAATATTACATGCTTCAACTTTATATAATTACAGGGTATCTGTACAGGTAGAAAGATGTATTTTTCCTCCTGAGCCAGAGCCTTCTGTAGACCTGAAGAACACTGTGATTAAACATATAGGACATTCCAATCACTATAGTCAATTCTTGGCTAGTTTTGTGGACATTCGATGGAATATTGTATCCTTTGTATAGTAGGTCTGTTATGATGAAGTTGTCAGGGAAACAGATCACATGTCATCTTGTACAGTAAATTTGTAAACTTTTAACAAATTTTTTTATCAATGGGAAAAGATGAGGGGCCAATCAGATTCTGTTATTATATTTTCTTTAAGAATGTTCTTCGGAATTAGTATTTATCTTGTTTTAATTTTGATTCACATAATTGAATAAGGTTTCAAAATTCTTGAAATTAGTGTTTAACAAGAAGCTAATGTGTGTAAAATAGCCTTGGCTCATATCTGTTTGTGTCCAAAAACTATTTATAAAATGGCAATTTCAGGTCAATTATGTGACCTGTTTTCACTAAAGCATCCAGATAATATCAACTTGTTCATTTATGAATAAAATAAATATAAATGTGAAAGGCTTTAATAATTTTACAATTTTTGCAAGTTGAGATGTTAGACTCTGATATGTATTAAGTATTGTGATTACTGCAATCGGCCATGTATAGTTCCCACTAGTACATTGTCTGCATCACCCTTCTCGCCACGAGAATTCAGGTAATAAAACTTTTTGTAACTGTTGGAAAACGTCTTAAGAAAGTCCAGTAAATTCAAATCATGTGTGATCGTTTGTGATATTTTCATGGAAAAACCTGTTTTCTATCATCAATTAGAAGTTGTAAATGATTCTAGAACACTTCACGAGTGTTAAAATTAGTCAAAATCACAACAACAAAATGAGAAACTTGTGTTTGTTAAACCGGAAGTTCGAATAGCATGTGTAAATGAAAATAAATATGGTGAGAGTGTACGGGAAATCCATACTTTATAGATATCACTAGAATACAACTTTGAAAGTAAAACAGTTCCATCCTTAAGTAAAATAATGTTTAACATATTAATCACATTAATGTACGAAAGATCTTAAGCTAAACAAAACAAATACGTCAGTAAGAAACGGAATGAATGACCGACCAGTTTTGTAGTTTATACACTTTTTCCGTTCTGTCAGTAAATTCAAGTGGATTCCAGTTTATTTTATGCAAGGCAGTAAAAAGAAAGGGGAAAATTGTTATGAAGCATTTAATTTTGAAATTTTATCAGTTTATATTACTTATTGAATAAAAATTGCATATTGATATGCATGATATGGATAAGGTAAATTATTAGTTTTGAAGATGATAAGAGTGCCCTATACAAGCCTGAATTAGGTATATAATATTAGAAAAAAACAAAACATTATTACCTTGACTTAAAAATAGCCATCAGAAACATGTTGTGGAAAAGCTAGTATAGAACACCTAAAATGGACTATTGAACAGTTAGAGTTAATCTCAGTATCACAGGTTTCCTGGGGTAAGTTAGAGTTAATCACAGTATCTCAGGTCTCCTAGGGTAAGATAGTGTTCATCACAGTATCTCAGGTCTCCTGGGGTAAGTTAGAGTTAATCACAGTATTTTCTGTGGGTAATACATTTAGGTGTGGAAGCAAAAACAATTCTGTTACAAATGAACATAAAAATATTGAGGGTAATTAGGTATAAGAAGTGTTGTTCATCTCCCACCCACATTATTTTTTTTTCCCCCTGGAATAGCCCTAAATGCAGAACTTTCATAGGATTTTTTCTCATTTTAAGTGATCAAATCTGTCTTTGACATTTGTAGTATCTTATATTCGAATTCCTCCCAAATATAGAGCTAAAGATATCTGAAAAATCACCACAAGATTTTGGCAATACATTTCAGTTTTAATATTTGTAAGTCGTTAAAATCATCAAAAGTGAGTACATGAGTACTTAATAGTACAACTGAACCCACTAACATCCGACTCCACCGAAAAAAGGCACCAAGAAAGACAAAACAACAACAAACAACACATGGTCCAGAAAGTCATTCTTGTCTTTCAATTTTGCTTATTTACTTTGTCTATATGCCATTTTGTTTTTCTTTGTTGAAATAGTTATTTGTTTTTATAGTGATCAAGATTATAAAATAATGTTGACTGCTGTACCCCATTTTTGACAATTTTACCTATTATGTTTGTTTGTTTTGCTCTCACATTGTTTCAATATAATGGAATTTTATACGACTGTCATACAAGTGAGAGGTTTAGCTAGGTATAAAACCAGGTTTAAGCCACAATTTTTCTACATAAGGAAATGCCTGTACCAAGTCAGGAATATGACAGTTGTTTTCCATTCAATTGATGTGTTTGAGGTTTTAATTTTGCCATTTGATACAGGACTTTCCGTTTTGAATTTTCCTTGGAGTTCGGTATTTTGATTATTTTACTATTTCACAACATAGGTTTGCATTTTGTTTAGATATTAGAATAAATGATGAAATGTATACAGATACGTGTAATCCTGAAGTATTGGTTGGTAGACTGATGTTATTGGATGTTAAGCTGACCTTGAAAGAAGGTAAGTGTCACATAACAAATGGGTAATTCGAGAAACTCTAGATAATTTTTGGTTAGAATGACAGCAAATTATGGAGTTAGTTTCCTCGTAATTGTTAATTTCTAGTGCATTTCAACCAAATTATATCTTGAATTACCAGAACAGGAAAAGGAAACAAATGTTATATTCGTGCACCATTATCATGATTATACAATTTGAACATAAAATAATGTCAACGTGAGTGGGTTTTTGTTTGTCATGTTTTCACCACTGCCTGATTGGCACTTAATTCTTGACACAAAATCCTTACATATAAAAATAAGAAGATGTGGTATGAATGCCAATGAGACAACTTTCCACAAAAGACTAATTGACACAGAAATTATCTATAGGTCACCGTACAACCTTCAACAATGAGCAAAACCCATACCGCATAATCTATAAAAGGCCCCGAAATGAAAATGTAAAACTATTCAAACCAGAAAACTAACGGCCTGATTTATGTACAAAATAATATAAAACAACAAACGACAACCACTGAATTACAGGCTCCTGACTTGTGACAGGCACATACAGAAATCAACTAAATAATTACAGTATACATAATTGACAAACCCTAAGAAGAAGAAAAACAATGAATCCGTGCATAGAACATTTTCTGACACCTCAATGCAAGGGCAAGGTTGTGCCTAGCATTTGTTAAAGTAGAATTCTTTACTAAGTTAGTCTTAAAATTTACTCTGTACTCACAGTATAAAATTTGTGCTCTAAACACCAAATCCAGTATTTTCATTTGTTGATTTTATAAAGATATGAGTACACTGAAAATTGGATGTTTGGAAAATCTGAACTAGAAAACCAAACGTTTTTTTATGTTTTTACTTTTTTAACTATGATTTTTCTATGACAGTTGGTAAATTTTTTAGTTGATAACAACTACTTATTAATTTTGTATGTTTGCAAATTGAAATGAAATTATGTTTTCAAAGTTTAACAAGTGGAGCATTCAATTTATGTTTAATATATTTTGACCAGATTTAGAAGCCAGTGAAGGTGAACTTGAAGTATCATGCTGTAGTAAAGTTAATTGTGAAATAGACAGTATGTGTACATTAATGGGAACAGACTCTCTTTTAGTGCCAAATGTGAGTTACTGTAGGTTCACAAATTATTACGAGGTTTTTATTAATGCAAATAATACGACTGGGGGAGTATCACAATAATAATAACTTGTATTCTGAATTCTAAACATATATCTGTATATGTTTAGAATTTTTACCACTTTATAAAAGTGGGGTATACTGTTTTACCATCTGTCCATCCGTCAGTCCGTCCATCCCTCCCATGAATATTTTTTGTTGCATCTTTCTCAGGAACTATTTCATAAGGATTTCTGAAATTTGGTTTCAGGGTTTATATAAGTCAGCTATACCACGTGATACGTTTTCAGATTCATCACTCAACAACTTCCTGTTTACCAACACTTACATATTTTTACACTATTAAAATTATCCAGTTGCGGAGGGGGTATTATCAGTGAGCAGAAGCTCGCAGTTTCACTTGTTAATCTTGCATTTTTGTACATTCTTCAAAAGTGGCAATAATAAATGCATGCAATAATTTCTGAATGTACAGTTCCTAAAACTCTGTACATATGACAACTTAAATCTTACATGTGTAAACTGTTTGCAAATAGTCATTTTATTCTTATTTTATTAAGTATGAATAAAATAAGATGTAAGAGTACATGCCAACTAGACAGCAACCCAATGACAAAAAGAATTAACTAGGTCCACATGCAGTCTTTAACAATAGATAAGTGTCTAGAATATGATATATTTGAGGTCAAAAACACTCAGAGTATTGAAAAATAAAATTAATTGATGCTACCCAAATTTGAAATAAAAACCAAATTCTCTAGATGACAAAAAGTAAAATAACTAAAATACCAAACTCCAGGGGAAATTCAAGACCTAGAGTTCTTTATAAAATGGCAAAATCAAAAGTTCAAATACATCTAACGAACGGAAAACAACTGTCACATTCCTGACTTGGTACAGGCATTTCCTTATGTAGAAAATGGTGGATTAAACCTGGTTTATAGCTAGCTAAACCTCTCACTTGTATGACAGTCGCATTGAATGCCATTATATTGACAACAATGTGTGAACAAAACAAACAGACATAAAAAGCATTAAGATATAATAAAAGACAATCATTGAGATAGTTTCTGTCTTTATACAAGCACATGAACATGTGGTTGGGTTTAACTATTTTTTTTGTATCAATTGCAAAAGGTATATATGAAAACAAGCATATAACAAAAATCGGTTCAGGAAATGCACAATTCAATAATTTAAGAAAATGTGCACTGAAAAAAAATAGCTAAGGAAGGTTTTTTAAGAAAATCACCTGAAACATGATATTTTACCCAAACAATTCTGATTTTTTTCTGAGCTAACATTGCTTGCTCATGAAACAACCTTCTTAAAGGACATTAGATACCCAAAAATTGGAAAGATAAAAACATAACATATTTGAGAGAAAAGATTTTTAAGGAAGCTTAATAAATATGTATGTGTACCAGACTTGTATGTACAGGCCTACATTAGAGAGTAAAATATGTGTGCTATTAATCTATAATTCATAACTATTTTTCAGGTTGATGTTTCTAGTGCTGTGAAATTTTCAACATCATTCCTATTTCATGTTAGTGGACATTATACATTAGATGTTAAATTCACTGTTCGACGGACTAACGCAGAAAGTATAGTGTTCAAATGTTATAAGATTCTGTTGATTGTTGACGAAGAGGATAGATAGAATTTATTAACTAATTTTTTTACCATGGAAAAATTTCATGAAGTGATGCATTCTCTTTTCAGCTGAATTTGTCTGTTCCTGGTGTGATTTATGAAACCAAGTGTCTTCAAATTTCAATGAAATTGTCCAAAATTTCGATGAAATTGTTCAAAAGTAATTTTTTGACTATAGAGAACTTTCATGAAGTGACATGTGCACTTTACAGTTGAAATCATCTGTTCCAGGTTTGATTTATAAAGCCAAGTGTCATCAAATATCAATGAACCAGTTAAAAAGTAATATTTGTGAAAGGGAATTCCTGTTTAAATGGATGTGTGAGAGTAGGAAGGGATTTCCAATATCCAGCTACAACAAACATAATTTTACCCACAATTCATATCAAAAAACGAAACCTCCCTTCTTACCGTCCCACATCAATTTTAATGGAATAGCCCCTGTGGGATTTTCCTTCCTTCCAGTCAGTTAAAATTATATCCCTGAAGTTTTTATTTTACTTTGATGGCTGTGGATTCATATATTTTTGTGTGACCAATTTTCATGGCTTGAGGAAAATTGTATATTCGTGGATATCTGATTTCGTGGTTTTGCCAAAGTTTGTATACAAGCCTATAGAAAAATTGTTACTTTGTTGAACATTGAAAGTTGTGGTTCAACTTTACATACGAAATCCAGGAAAGTTGGTATCCCACAAAAAATAATTAATCCACAGTATGGAAAATATACAAATCTTCATACATGTACATTTCAGATCATTTTACACCAATCATAGAAGTTTACAGGGTGAAACCATAGACGGCTGTTACATGTTTATTCAGTTAACAGTAGTTGAGAAATTGACCAGGTTAACCATTTAAATCTCAAGTTGTTCATTTTATCAAGTTTTTAGATGACATTTATTTAGAAAAGCTTGATTTCTACTTAATTATTCAGATGAATTATTCATAGAAAATTTGATTTGCACTCATGTTTGAATTGGCTATAGACATTTTTGCTTTTCTGAAGAACAAGATCCATAAAAATTTGAAACCCTTTTATAATGTATTCATTGTAAATTAAGCACATTAATTGATTAATGCTGGTGTTTAGCTAAGGCTGATTTATTTTTATACGACCGCAAAAAAATTTTGTGGTCGTATATTGGTATGACGTTGGCGTCGTTGTTGTCGTCGTCGTCGTCGTCGTCGTCGTCGTCGTCGTCGTCCAGCGTCGTCATACGAAGACACATTGGTTTTCGCACTCTAACTTTAGTTTAAGTGAATGGATCTTTTTGAAATTTGACCATAAGGTTAAATACCACAAAAGGAAGGTTTGGATTGATTTTGGGGGTTATGGTACCAACAGTTAAGGAATTAGGGGCCAAAAAGGGGCCAAAAATAAGCATTTTCTAGTTTCCAGACAATAACTGTGGAACGGTGTATGGATCTCTCTGAAATTATACTACAAGTTTCCATACCACAAAGGGATGGTTAGGATTTGCTTTGGGGGGTTATGGCTCAAACCGTTTAGGAATAAGGGGCAAAAAAGGGGGAAAAACAAGGTTGTCCTGGTTAATGGACAAATACTTGAGTACAAAACATAATTTAAAGCAGTGTAAGGGAGATAAATCAAATACATCATTGAAATTATCTCCCCTACACTGCTTTTAAATTATGTATAAAGTAATGGTTAATGAACGATAAAGATAATTTAAAACAGTGTAAGGGAGGTAATCCAAATACAACGTTTTGGTTACTTCCCTTACACTGCTTTTAAATTATGTTTAAAGAAATGCATAACTAAAGGAAGACCAGTAAAAATATCTGCAAATGTTGCATCTTTTTTTTTAACAAAAAAATCCATATGAAAGATTTGACACTATATTTTTAATTCTATTATAAAATAGATTAAGTTAGCACTATGGTAAATTTAAATGGGTAATTATGGTTGCCAACTCCATTGGAAATTTGAATTGAGATTATGACCATATCTTGAGGGAAAGAATTTTTTGGGGGAAAAAAAGGGGGGGGGATAAAAAGAAATTGTGGGGGGATCAATTTTTTCTCATTTCAGATTTCAGAAATTAAAAAGAATTATTCTTCAAATATTATTTTTTTTCAAATTTCAAATATTGAAAAATTTCAAGAAGTAATCTTTAATTGCACAGTATGGCGCATTAGATTTGTAAAATCTTTGATCACATTTATTTATTTGTTATGCCGAATCTAACAGTGTATTTAGATTTTTAATTTTGGGTCCAGTTTTCAAATTGGTCTACATTAAGGTCCAAAGGGTCCAAAATTAAACTTTGTTTGATTTTAGCAAAAATTGAATATATGAGGTTCTTTGATATGCTGAATCTAAACATGTATTTAGATTTTTGATTTTTGGCCCGGTTTTCAAGTTGGTCCAAATTGGGGTCCAAAATTAAACTTTGTTTGATTTCAACAAAAATTGAATATATGGGGTTCTTTGATATGCTGAATCTAACCATGTATTTAGATTTTTTATTTGTGGACCCCGTTATCAAATTGGTTCATATTGAGGTCAAAAGGGTCCAAAATTAAACTTTGTTTGATTTAATCTAAAATTGAATTATTGGGGTTCTTTGATATTCCAAATCTAACCGTGTATTTAGATTTTTAATTTTGGGTCCTGTTTTTTAAATTGTTCTACATTAAGGTCCAAAGGGTCCAAAATTAAACTTAGTTTGATTTTAACAAAAATTGAATTCTTGGGGTTCTTTGATATGCTGAATCTAAACATGTGTTTAGATTTTTGATTATGTGCCCAGTTTTCAAGTTTGTCCAAGTTGGGGTCCAAAATTAAACTTTGTTTGATTTTAACAAAAATTGAATATATGGGGTTCTTTGATATGCTGAATCTAACCATGTATTTTGATTTTGGACATTGGACCATAATAGGTAAATTAAAAAAATTCAAGTTCTTAGACCACATTCTTTCTGTGTCAGAAACCTATGCTGTGTCAAATATTTAATAACAATCCAAATTCAGAGCTGTATCAAGCTTGAATGTTGTGTCCATAATTGGCCCAACTGTTCAGGGTTCGACCTCTGCGGTCGTATCAAGCTGCGCCCCAGCGAAGCATTTTATTGAGCCATATCAATGATTTCAGTATCAACAGATGATTTTAAATATTTAGATTTTTTACAAAACAAATCTTGCCATATAGTTTCATCTGCTGCATGCGCTGTTTAGATACAAATGGTATTTTATTAATTAGATATTTTATAAATTATTTGCCGTGTATTCTTTAAAATGTATATGCTGATGATAGTTAAATATTTAGCAGTGTGTACTGAAGAAATTTTACAGAGTGTGTTTAATGAATCTTGATATAAACTAATTTTCTACCATAAACTGACAAATCTGTGTAGAAAGGTTTTTGTGTAATTTGAGTGTGAGTTATTTCCCTTGGCTGCCATGCTGGAGGTGTAAATGGTTGATTTTCTTATTTGATTAACCAAATTAAAACATATAATACAAACAAGTCTGATAAAAGATCTGAAGTGAATCAAGCAAGGCGAAAAGAAATTAAAATTGTTCAAAATATTAAAAATGAGAATGAAAAGGGGAGTGTGTCAAAGAGATAACAACCTGACCAAAGAGCAGAAAACAGCCAAGGCCACCAATGGGTCTTCAACACAGCGAGAAAATCTCGTACCTGGAGGTGGGCTTTAGCTGGCCCCTAAACAAAAATGTGTACTAGTTCATAGAAAATGGAAGTCACACTTAACTCCGAAACATATAAATGAACCGAAATTAAAAAGACACACAAGACTAACAATGGCCAGAGGTTCAAAAAACTTTTTCTAAAGTCTAGCGGTCAGTATAACAAGTTGAATTTTGCTGATTTAATAAGGAATTTGTGCAAACAAACCTCCAACATGGTGAGAAAAGGGAAGTAACTCTTGCTCAAATTGTGTCAATTGAAACCTTTCTATATATATTGTCGATTCACCATTAGTTATTTGAAAGAATGTTAGAGGATAGGAAATAAGAAATAGTAATAGTAGTATACTATTAGTCAACCATCTTTCCGACTTTTATTGAAGACACACTATTTTAACTCTGAGCCATCCAGTCTAATGTTGGTATTCCTTAATGTCAAATGGGTAGTAAAGAAGTAGCAAATACCAATTTTCAAGTCTTTGGTTTGACCAGGAAATCAAATTCACAACTTGAGGCATACAAATGACCATTGAGGCAGTTGTCAGGTTTAGAAAAAAAAGCATTCACTGAAGGAAAAGATCTGCAAGGTTTATGGTAAAAAAATTTTGAATCAGGGGTCAAATTTTGAGATATTTCATTTTGTAAAAAAATTGTTTAAATTATTTCACATTTATAATTGTTAACTGTACAGAGTTTCAACAACTTATGAAATGTATTATACAATAGAATTTTTAATATATAGTAGTTTTATATTTTTTAAATGAAAGTATCTTTAATTAGGTCACATAGAATATGGTAATTTGTTTCTCTGGAATATTAATTGTCAAATTGATCTTTGCTATTGTTTAGGAGTTTTGCTATTAATTTTGTTTTGTTGTGTTAACTTAATGAATAAACTTTCATTCTTTAAGGGATGTTCCAGAAACAAATGCATTGGGAGCATGGGAGACCCTGACCAAGAATAAAATTAAAAATTTCATTTTACTTATGATTTTTACGAAATTCCAAAACACATGTGACCACAAAAATTTAATTAATTTGATTGCCTCCCATCCTGACAAATTTTGGAACAGCCTTAAGCCCCCAAACACAACATGAATTACTATTTTCAAAAGAAATAAAAACTTTATTTTTTACTGAATTATAAGGCATTAATTTTACTTCATATAGGCAGAAACATGTTCATTTATTATAAACCATGATGTATTTGAATTAAACTTGGTCAGTAGTATTTATATGTAATGGAATCCAGGTCACTTTCTGGCTTTGCCATTTTATAGTGCTAATCTTCAATATTAATTTTTTTTTCATGTTAAACATTATACCAAGGTTGTGAAATAAGGTAAAAAGATACAGGTAAGTGTAAATATACAAATGACTGTAAACTGACATAATATACTAATGAAAAACCCTTTTTCAAATGTTATACAAACATGTTTTGAATATATGATGAGTATAAGGTGAACCTTATTGCCATAAATTGCTGATTTAAAGCTTATTAATTTATTGTGGATTCATTTGTTTTTTCGTGGGTACAAATTTTCATGGATGTACAAAATATTGTATGTTTAAGGACTTTTCATTATGTGGTTTTTGCCAAAGTCTAAATACAACCGTATAGAAAATTTGTATTTCATTTAAATTCTCGGTTCATCTATACTTATAAAATCCTCAAAAATTAGTATCACACGAATTATAATGAATCCACAGTATATAAAAATAAGGAAACAAAATATTTGTGAATGAACGAGGAGAAGTATAAAGTTGTCGTGAAAACTTATTTTTCAGAAGTATAGTGTTGAAATGAAAACTCAGTTTGTATAAAGCTAAATACCCCATATTTATAGAATTGTTGAATTTCAATAAGCTCAAATGTAAGATACACCTTTTATGAAATATACTGCTAAAAATATCTTATACGGTATAGTGAACAATGGGATGATGCAATATTGAGATTGATTTGTGTCAATCTGAATGAAATACTGATCCTGTGTCCACGCTTTGCTTACAAGGATCTGACAACACTCTGTTCTGATAATTATAACATCAGCCAATGAAGTGTCAGCCTTCAAATTTTGAAGGTGTGTATCATCATGACAAAACCAGAGGATCCCGAAAAACTTCAAAACAGAAAGTAGAACCCAGCGTTTTCATATCCTTGAAGGGTGGTCACAGGATCTGTTTTTTAATCAGATTGGATTTGTGTAGAATTATGTATTGATCTTTGTTATAAATTGTTTTCTTTATTAAAGCATAGTTTTATTTTTGTTTTCGTTTATACATCAGCAATATTTTTCAGTGTTACAACAGAAATTATACACAGATGATGACTTATATGTTCCAATTGTTGTATACACCACAATCACATTTTTTTTCTTTGAATGTGATTTACAGAACGAGACTTATCACAGAGTTTGTACTAACATGAGCAACACGATGGGTGCCACATGTGGAGCAGGATCTGCTAACCCTTCCGGAGCACTTGAGATAACCCCTTCGTGTTTGGTGGGATTGGTGTTGCTGAACCTTTAGTTTTCTATGTTTGTGTTTTGTAGACTGTTGTTTGTCTTTTGATTTTTATTTTGTCATGGCAGTCATTTTTTTTTTGGCTAATGAATTTGAATGTCCCTTTCGTATTTTTCACTTCTCTCTAACTAGAAATAAGAAGATGTGGTATAAGTGCCAATGAGACAACTCTCCATCCAAGTCACAAATGTGTAAAAAGTAAACAATTATATGTCAAAGTACGGCCTTCAACACAGAACCTTGGCTCACGCCGAACAGCAAGCTATAAAGGGCAACAAAATGACTAGTGTAAAACAATTCAAACAGGAAAACCAACGGTCTAATCTATATAAAAACCGAGAAACAAGAAACACTTAAGAACCACATATTAAACAAACGACAACCACTGAAACAGGTTCCTGACTAATTTAAACAATGCAAATTTAAAATGTAGTAAGGTAATGAAATCAATATTGATACAGTGAAACAGCTTGCTTCAGGTAATGGTACCTTAGATTCACAGGAGTTATGTCTGAGCATACTTTCAACCACAGATATTTTTGAAACCTCAAAAGTTAGGAATGGTTTGGATCAAAACATTGTCTGCTAGAACTATCACAGATGAAAAGTGTCACTTGCAGTGTGAAGGAGTTCAAATAGGGAAAAGGTGAATATTTCAAGTAGAAACCTGTTAAAATCATTCCATTTGCTTCCATTTTTACCTTTAAGAGAGACTTTTCTGTTGCACTGTTCAACATTTTGTATTTCCAGGTCCTTTTTATACGACCGCAAAAAAATTTTTGTGGTCGTATATTGGTATGACGTTGGCGTCGTTGTCGTCGTCCGGCGTCGTCGTCGTCGTCCGAAGACGCATTAGTTTTCGCACTCTAACTTTAGTTTAAGAGAATGGATCTCTATGAAATTTTACCATAAGGTTCAATACCACAAAAGGAAGGTGGGGATTGATTTTGGGGGTTATGGTACCAACAGTTAAGGAATTAGGGGCCAAAAAGGGGCCAAAAATAAGCATTTTCTAGTTTCCAGACAATAACTGTGGAACGGTGTATGGATCTCTCTGAAATTATACTACAAGTTTCCATACCACAAAGGGATGGTTAGGATTTGCTTTGGGGGGTTATTGCTCAAACCGTTTAAGAATTAGGGGTTTTCGCACTCTAACTTTAGTTCAATACCACAAAAGGAAGGTTGGGATTGATTTTGGGGGTTATGGTACCAACAGTAAAGGAATTAGGGGCCAAAAAGGGGCCAAAAATAAGCATTTTTGTAACTTCCAGACATAACTTGTGTGTTAGTTTATGGATCTCTCCGACATTGTACCACAAGGTTCCATATCACAAAAGGAATGCTGGGATTGATTTTGGGGGTAATTGCCTCAAAATTTTAGGAATTAGGGGCCAAAAAAGGGGCAAAAAACAAGCATTTTTCTAGTTTCATGACAATAACTTGTGTGTAAGTGTATGGATCTTTCTGAAATTGTACTACAAGGTTCCATATCACAAAGGGAAATCTGGAATTGAGTTTGGGGGTAATTGCCGAAACGTTTAGGAATTGGGGGCCAAAAAGGGGCCAAAAATAAGCATTTTTCTAGTTTCCAGACAATAACTTGTGTTCAAGTGTATGGATCTCTCTGAAATTGTACTGCAAGGTACCATACCACAAAGGGAAGGCTGGGATTGATGATGGGGGTAATTGCCTCAATATTTAAGGAATTTGGGGCCAAAAAGGGGCCAAAAAACACATTTTTCTAGTTTCCAGACAATAACTTGTGTGTAAGTGTATGGATCTCTCTGGAATTGTACTGCAAGGTACCATACCACAAAGGGAAGGCTGGGATTGAGTTTGGGTGTGATGAATCATAAGGGGGTTCAAAAAATTTGGTTAGGGGGGGATTTTTTTTTTTTCATTTTTTTTCTTTTTTTCCTATATTTTCTTTTAAAATTTTCCATTTTAAGTTGGTTATTTCTGATTTTTATTTAAAAGCAAATAATAATTATATGGTAGGAGATACACACCAAACAGGATGTGTAAATTATTATATAATAAGTATTGTGCAATAGCAAGAAATTTTCAATTGCACAGTATTGCACAATAGCAAGTAATCTTCAATTGCACAGTATTGCGCAATAGCAAGAAATCTTCAATTGCACAGTATTGCGCAATAGCAAGAAATATCCAATAGCACAATATTGCGCAATAGCAAGAAATTGTCAATTGTACAGTATTGCGCAATAGCAAGAAATATTTAATTGCACAGTATTGTGCAAATGAAGATACTTCGTATAAATTGCTTATTTCTTGACCAATTTCAATGGGGTTTTATTCTTGAATTCTTGGGGTTCTTTAATATGCTGAATCTAACCGTGTATTTAGTTTTTGGATTTTGGGCCAAGTTTTTAAATTGGTCCACATTGAGGTCCAAAGGGTCCAAAATTAAACTTTGTTTGATTTCATCAAAAATTGAATTATTTGGGTTCTTTGATATGCCGAATCTAACCGTGTATTTAGATTCTTAATTTTTGGTTCTGTTTTCAAATTGGTCTACATTAAGGTCCAAAGGGTCCAAAACTAAACTTAGTTTGATTGTAACAAAAATTGAATTCGTAGGGTTCTTTGATATACTGAATCTAAACATGTATTTAGATTTTTGATTATGGGCCCAGTTTTCAAGTTGGTCCAAATCGGGGTCCAAAATTAAACTTTGTTTGATTTCAACAAAAATTGAATATATGGGGTTCTTTGATATGCTAAATCTAACCATGTATTTAGATTTTTGATTTTTGGGCCCCGTTATTAACTTTGTCCACATTGAGGTCGAAAGGGTCCAAAATTAAACTTTGTTTGATTTCATCAAAAATTGAATTCTTGGGGTTCTTTGATATGCTGAATCTAACCATGTATTTAGATTTTGGATATTGGACCATAATAGGTGAATGTCCAATTTAAAAATTTTTAAGTTCTTAGACCACATTCATTCTGTGTCAGAAACCTATGCTGTGTCAAATATTTAATCACAATCCAAATGCAAAGCTGTATCAAGCTTGAATGTTGTGTCCATACTTGCCCCAACTGTTCAGGGTTCGACCTCTGCGGTCGTATCAAGCTGCGCCCTGCGGAGCATTTTATTACTGAATTATAAGGCATTAATTTTACTTCATATAGGCAGAAACATGTTCATTTATTATAAACCATGATGTATTTGAATTAAACTTGGTCAGTAGTATTTATATGTAATGGAATCCAGGTCACTTTCTGGCTTTGCCATTTTATAGTGCTAATCTTCAATATCAATTTTTTTTTCATGTTAAACATTATACCAAGGTTGTGAAATAAGGTAAAAAGATACAGGTAAGTGTAAATATACAAATGACTGTAAACTGACATAATATACTTATGAAAAACCCTTTTTCAAATGTTATACAAACATGTTTTGAATATATGATGAGTATAAGGTGAACCTTATTGCCATAAATTGCTGATTTAAAGCTTATTAATTTATTGTGGATTCATTTGTTTTTTCATGGGTACAAATTTTCATGGATGTACAAAATATTGTATGTTTAAGGACTTTTCATTATGTGGTTTTTGCCAAAGTCTAAATACAACCGTATAGAAAATTTGTATCTCATTTAAATTCTCAGTTCATCTTTACTTATAAAATCCTCAAAAATTAGTATCACACGAATTATAATGAATCCACAGTATATAAAAATAAGGAAACAAAATATTTGTGAATGAACGAGGAGAAGTGTAAAGTTGTCGTGAAAACTTATTTTTCAGAAGTATAGTGTTGAAATGAAAACTCAGTTTGTATAAAGCTAAATACCCCATATTTATAGAATTGTTGAATTTCAATAAGCTCAAATGTAAGATACACCTTTTATGAAATATACTGCTAAAAATATCTTATACGGTATAGTGAACAATGGGATGATGCAATATTGAGATTGATTTGTGTCAATCTGAATGAAATACTGATCCTGTGTCCACGATTTGCTTACAAGGATCTGACAACACTCTGTTCTGATAATTATAACATCAGCCAATGAAGTGTCAGCCTTCAAATTTTGAAGGTGTGTATCATCATGACAAAACCAGAGGATCCCGAAAAACTTCAAAACAGAAAGTAGAACCCAGCGTTTTCATATCCTTGAAGGGTGGTCACAGGATCTGTTTTTTAATCAGATTGGATTTGTGTAGAATTATGTATTGATCTTTGTTATAAATTGTTTTCTTTATTAAAGCATAGTTTTATTTTTGTTTTCGTTTATACATCAGCAATATTTTTCAGTGTTACAACAGAAATTATACACAGATGATGACTTATATGTTCCAATTGTTGTATACACCACAATCACGTTTTTTTTCCTTGAATGTGATTTACAGAACGAGACTTATCACAGGGTTTGTACTAACATGAGCAACACGATGGGTGCCACATGTGGAGCAGGATCTGCTAACCCTTCCGGAGCACTTGAGATAACCCCTTCGTGTTTGGTGGGATTGGTGTTGCTGAACCTTTAGTTTTCTATGTTTGTGTTTTGTAGACTGTTGTTTGTCTTTTGATTTTTATTTTGTCATGGCAGTCATTTTTTTTTGGCTAATGAATATGAATGTCCCTTTCGTATTTTTCACTTCTCTCTAACTAGAAATAAGAAGATGTGGTATAAGTGCCAATGAGACAACTCTCCATCCAAGTCACAAATGTGTAAAAAGTAAACAATTATATGTCAAAGTACGGCCTTCAACACAGAACCTTGGCTCAGCAAGCTATAAAGGGCAATAAAATGACTAGTGTAAAACAATTCAAACAGGAAAACCAACGGTCTAATCTATATAAAAACCGAGAAACAAGAAACACTTAAGAACCACATATTAAACAAACGACAACCACTGAAACAGGTTCCTGACTAATTTAAACAATGCAAATTTAAAATGTAGTAAGGTAATGAAATCAATATTGATACAGTGAAACAGCTTGCTTCAGGTAATGGTACCTTAGATTCACAGGAGTTATGTCTGAGCATACTTTCAACCACAGATATTTTTGAAACCTCAAAAGTTAGGAATGGTTTGGATCAAAACATTGTCTGCTAGAACTATCACAGATGAAAAGTGTCACTTGCAGTGTGAAGGAGTTCAAATAGGGAAAAGGTGAATATTTCAAGTAGAAACCTGTTAAAATCATTCCATTTGCTTCATTTACCTGTGAGAGAGACTTTTCTGTTGCACTGTTCAACATTTTGTATTTCCAGGTCCTTTTTATACGACCGCAAAAATTGAAAATTTTTTGGTCGTATATTGGTATGACGTTGGCGTCGTCGTCGTCGTCGTCGTCGTCGTCGTCGTCTGGCGTCGTCCGAAGACACATTGGTTTTCGCACTCTAACTTTAGTTTAAGTGAATGGATCTCCATGAAATTTTACCATAAGGTTCAATACCACGAAAGGAAGGTGGGGATTGATTTTGGGGGTTATGGTACCAACAGTTAAGGAATTAGGGGCCAAAAAGGGGCCAAAAATAAGCATTTTTGTAACTTCCAGACAATAACTTGTGTGTAAGTGTATGGATCTCTCTGACATTGTACCACAAGGTTCCATATCACAAAGGAAAGGCTGTAATTGATTTTGGGGGTAATTGCCTCAAAATTTTAGGAATTAGGGGCCAAAAAAGGGGCAAAAAACAAGCATTTTTCTAGTTTCGTGACAATAACTTGTGTGTAAGTGTTTGGATATTTCTGAAATTGTACTACAAGGTTCCATATCACAAAGGGAAAGCTGGAATTGAGTTTGGGGGTAATTGCCTTAAACGTTTAGGAATTGGGGGCCAAAAAGGGGCCAAAAATAAGCATTTTTCTAGTTTCCAGACAATAACTTGTGTTCAATTGTATGGATCTCTCTGAAATTGTACTGCAAGGTACCATACCACAAAGGGAAGGCTGGGATTGAGTTTGGGGGTGATGAATCATAAGGGGGTTCAAAAAATTTGGGGGGGGATTTTTTTTTTTTCTTTTTTTTTCTTTTTTTCCTTTTTTTTTTCTTTTAAAATTTTCCATTTTAAGTTGGTTATTTCTGATTAATATTTAAAAGCAAATAATAATGATATGGTAGGAGATACACACCAAACAGGATGTGTAAATTATTATCTAATAAGTATTGTGCAATAGCAAGAAATTTTCAATTGCACAGTATTGCACAATAGCAAGAAATCTTCAATTGCACAGTATTGCGCAATAGCAAGAAATCTTCAATTGCACAGTATTGCGCAATAGCAAGAAATATCCAATAGCACAATATTGCGCAATAGCAAGAAATTGTCAATTGTACAGTATTGCGCAATAGCAAGAAATATTCAATTGCACAGTATTGTGCAAAAGAAGATACTTCGTATAAATTGCTTATTTCTTGATCAATTTCAATGGGGTTTTATTCTTGAATTCTTGGGGTTCTTTAATATGCTGAATCTAACCGTGTATTAAGTTTTTGGATTTTGGGCCCCGTTTTTAAATTGGTCCACATTGAGGTCCAAAGGGTCCAAAATTTAACTTTGTTTGATTTCATCAAAAATTGAATTATTGGGGTTCTTTGATATGCTGAATCTAACCGTGTATTTAGATTCTTAATTTTTGGTTCCGTTTTCAAATTGGTCTACATTAAGGTCCAAAGGGTCCAAAATTAAACTTAGTTTGATTTTAACAAAAATTGAATTCTTAGGGTTCTTTGATATGCTGAATCTAAACATGTATTTAGATTTTTGATTATGGGCCCAGTTTTCAAGTTGGTCCAAATCGGGGTCCAAAATTAAACTTTGTTTGATTTCAACAAAAATTGAATATATGGGGTTCTTTGATATGCTGAATCTAACCATGTATTTAGATTTTTGATTTTTGGGCCCCGTTATCAACTTTGTCCACATTGAGGTCAAAAGGGTCCAAAATTTAACTTTGTTTGATTTCATCAAAAATTGAATTATTGGGGTTCTTTGATATGCTGAATCTAACCATGTATTTAGATTTTTGATTTGTGGACCCGCTATCAAATTGGTTCATATTGAGGTCAAAAGGGTCCAAAATTAAACTTTGTTTGATTTCATCAAAAATTGAATTATTGGGGTTCTTTGATATGCCAAATCTAACCGTGTATTTAGATTTTTAATTTTGGGTCCCGTTTTTAAATTGGTCTACATTAAGGTCCAAAGGGTCCAAAATTAAACTTAGTTTGATTTTAACAAAAATTGAATTCTTGGGGTTCTTTGATATGCTGAATCTAAACATGTGTTAAGATTTTTGATTATGGGCCCAGTTTTCAAGTTGGTCCAAGTTGGGGTCCAAAATTAAACTTTGTTTGATTTCAACAAAAATTGAATATATGGGGTTCTTTGATATGCTGAATCTAAACATGTATTTAGATTTTAGATTTTTGGCCCAGTTTTCAAGTTGGTCCAAATTGGGGTCCAAAATTAAACTTTGTTTGATTTCAACAAAAATTGAATATATGGGGTTCTTTGATATGCTGAATCTTACCATGTATTTAGATTTTTTATTTGTGGGCCCGCTTTCAAATTGGTTCATATTGAGGTCAAAAGGGTCCAAAATTAAACTTTGTTTGATTTCATCAAAAATTTAATTATTGGGGTTCTTTGATATGCCAAATCTAACCGTGTATTTAGATTTTTAATTTTGGGTCCCGTTTTTTAAATTGGTCTACATTAAGGTCCAAAGGGTCCAAAATTAAACTTAGTTTGATTTTAACAAAAATTGAATTTTTGGGGTTCTTTGATATGCTGAATCTAAACATGTGTTTAGATTTTTGATTATGGGACCAGTTTTCAAGTTGGTCCAAGTTGGGGTCCAAAATTAAACTTAGTTTGATTTCAACAAAAATTGAATATATGGGGTTCTTTGATATGCTGAATCTAAACATGTATTTAGATTTTAGATTTTTGGCCCAGTTTTCAAGTTGGTCCAAATTGGGGTCCAAAATTAAACTTTGTTTGATTTCAACAAAAATTGAATTCTTGGGGTACTTTGATATGCTGAATCTAAACATGTGTTTAGATTTTTGATTATGGGACCAGTTTTCAAGTTTGTCCAAGTTGGGGTCCAAAATTAAACTTTGTTTGATTTCAACAAAAATTGAATATATGGGGTTCTTTGATATGCTGAATCTAACCATGTATTTTGATTTTGGACATTGGACCATAATAGGTAAATTAAAAAAATTGAAGTTCTTAGACCACATTCTTTCTGTGTCAGAAACCTATGCTGTGTCAAATATTTAATCACAATCCAAATTCAGAGCTGTATCAAGCTTGAATGTTGTGTCCATACTTGCCCCAACTGTTCAGGGTTCGACCTCTGCGGTCGTATCAAGCTGCGCCCAGCGAAGCATTTTATTATAGCTTTATTATAGGGTATTCCATGGGTTTTGTTCATTGTTGAAGGCTGTAGAGTTACCTTTAGTTGTTTATATCGTTGCCTCTGATCTTTTAGAAGATAAACTATAGATAGTTGTCTAATTGGCAGCCATACCAAGTCTCCTTATTTTTATGAAGGCAGATGTCTCTAAAGAGTCATGTGATGCAACTTTTTCAACCTTTTTTTTTATTTCAATGAACATTTCACAGAATCTGTTGATAGTATATCATAGTAAAGCAGGGCTGCAAAGTCGCACGTAATTAGCGTGCGACTCGCACATTTTAATCCTTATTTGGCGGCATTTTCCTTTGAACTGTTGTTTTTTCTCTTTGATCTTTACAATTTTGGCCAAATCTCACGCATTTGTTTCATGAAAACTTGGCAGTACTGGTAATGTGCAGCTCTTATTTTATTTATAATTCAAATGATTTTTGGGTTTCCTATAGCAGTACACGGACGTTTCGATATCTACAAAAAGGAAAAGACATCTTGTATCAGCAGCTCTTCCAGAACCAATCACCTTATTTCAGTGAAAATTTCATAGAATCTTACTTACCGGTACTTTCATATTGAATTTGAGAATGAACTGAAGCACATGAGACATTTCAGTGTGTGCACCCTTGTTTTTGAGCTTAGGAATAAATAATTTATCAAAATTCATCTTTTATGAAGTCTGATACAAATTTTCCCAAGACAAAGCGTTTCAACTGAAGTAATGATATAGAGGTTTCTGTGGAGTCATTATGGAGGAAAAGGTTAAAGAAAATTTAGATACTGAGTAGGGTAGAACAGTTTCCTTGCAAAGGTTGCCACAGTAAAACAAATTGTATATATAAATAAGAAGATGTGGTATGAGTGCCAATGAGACAACTCTCCATCCAAGTCACAATGTATAAAAAGTTAACAATTATAGGTCAAAGAACGGTCTTCAACACAGAGCCTTGGCTCACACCGAACAGCAAGCTATAAAGGGCCCCAAAATGACTAGTGTAAAACAATTCAAACAGGAAAACCAACGGTCTAATCTATATAAAAAACATGAAACGAGTAACACTTATGAACCACACCAACAAACGACAACCACTGAACAACAGGCTCCTGACTTAGGACAGGTGCATAAAATTGAAGACCATTAACAACTATAACTTTAATATTCAATTTAACATAAATACAACTAATGAAATGTCTTGCTTTTAGCAGATCTCTCTCACATAAACATGTCGTCATATCCAGGTGGTGGTAAGTGATCAGGATCAGGTCTGAAATATAAAATATGTTTCTATAAAGTACATGGCAGGGTTCTAGGGCAAAACCACATTTCTAAACAGTGGGGTTCAATATCTAGGGCATAACCAGATTTGGTAAACAGTTGAGTTCAATATCTAGGGCAAAACCAGATTTGTTAAACAGTGGTATAATTGCCAATGAGATAACTATATATTCACCAAAGTTCAAATGAAGTAGATGTAAGCAATTATAGGCAACCTTCAACAATGAGAAAAACCCATACCGTATAGTCGGCTATAAAAGGCCCCGACCTGAAAAATATGAAACAGTTCTACGTCTGACAACCACTGAACTACTGGCTCCTGACTCGGTACAAGCTCATATAGAATGTGGCGGGGTTAAACATGTCTGAAGGCGACAACCGTAATTCATTTACAGTGATAACTAGCCTGTCAACATAAAAGTTTAGAGTTCAAATCCCACTTGTGTCTAGGTGTTTTTGACGCTGATCTTAAATGACTAGGATTGCCACTTTTCCAGTAGGAGATTGTAGTTTTTTCCTGGTACTTCAGCTTTCTCCACCAAAAAAACTAGCTGCTATGAAATTGGTAAGAGTGCATAGAGTAATGTTAAAAACCAACAATCAATCATTGATATTTACAGTAGGTATACAATTGATGGGGGGAATGTGTCAAAGAGACAAAAACAACATACAAGACTAACAAAAGCCAGAGGTTCCTGACTTGGGACAGGCGCAAAAATGTAGCGGTGTTAAACATGTTTTGTGAGACCTCAACCCTCCCCTATACCTCTAGCCAATGTAGAATAAACAAGCACACACACAATTCATACAAATGCAGATCTTTAATGGCTGAAAAAGAATCAGTTGATTCCCTCATATGTTTTTATTATGTATTTCCAATAAAACAGTTAACTAAATTCTAATTATAGTATACTTACCCTGGACCAGTTCCAGGTGGACCAAAGGGATCAAATCGAGCACCAGGTGGGACTGCTCCTCTAAAAACAAGAAATTTACATTTTATATCAATAGCCAAAAAATGTTTCGCTTACATGAGAGTTATATTTGTCTGATTCTTTAACATGTCAATTGACTACATAAATGTGATCAAGAGTAAAAGATTTGAACTGTGAGTTATTGCCGACTACTAATACCCCATTATAATTTACAACAAACAGGAAGTTGATGAGAGATGAAAACACGTCACACAGTATAGCATGCTCACAAGCTTGATACCAAATTTCAGGAAGTTCCAATTTGTAGTTTTGAGGAAAATGCAACAAAAATTTTATTTGATAGATGGTCAGAAAAAAATGCAAATAAAATATTGCTATGTCAGGAAATGCTGCATATAAATAATGCTACCAAAATTTTAAAAGCATGTTTTTAAAAACTTTTCATTTGTTGTCATGGTTCAACTCAAAATCATAGACAAGCCTTCCGAGGGATTTTCCTTTGCCATATTCATTTTATTACATAGTTTATGATATTTTTCATCTGATATATATCCACGGTCTGGTAGAGGCATAAACTTATTGTCAACTTCATTGAATATATATGTTGATTGATGAGTGCGTGCATTAAAGGCTACATCACTAAGAAAATATGGAATATACTGATAAATTGACTCACTGCGGTACAGTATTTCATACTTTAATTTTTTATTGGTCTTATTACCTTGGTAATCTACCAGGAAGACCAGCACTGGGATCTGGTCGCCCTCTTCTACCACCAGGATGGAATGGATCAAACACCATACCACCTCCAGTTCTACCAAATGGGTCAAGGTCACCTCTTCCAACAGAAAATGGATCATCTGGATCTGTCCTAAAATAGATTGTAACTTTGCAGCTAGCACACTTCTGTGTGTCTTTAATTACCGTATTTAGCCGTGTATAGTACACAGATGTGTATAATATACACCCCCTTTTCATCCCTCCAAAAGTTTTGACAAAATTTTTTTAAAAAAAGTAAAAAAAAAAGGTATAAAAAAGTAATTAGTAAAAAAAATAAAAATAGAAATAGAAAGGTAAAACAACAAAAAAAGTAAATAAAGTCTAGTTCACTGTAAAAAGCCTTTTATAGGGAACAATTAGACCATGTATTTAATCTTCATTTAAGTCAATTGAAAGATAAAACTAAATAATAATATTGATTGTTCAATCAAATTATTATAGAGTAACAAACAATTAAATGGTAGAGCTTTTATCATGTAATTAACATTTATTAATTTTATAAAAGTAAAGTTATTAATTAAACATCCCTTCAATGTTTGTCTAAGCTTATCCAAGCTGAATACTGTTCAAATATTATAAAAGTAATAATAAGAATGTTATGGAACAAAAGAAATTAGACCTCAAACATTTTCAAAGTTGATTAGCAGTAACTAAAATTTGATGACTCTTCAATCCGATATTTCCTTTTCAGTGATCATGTTGATGTAGAGCACTGCCTGAGGTTATCATATTGAACACCTGTCAAAAGTTGACATGATTATTCAATTGTTATACACCCATACTTTATCCTTAATTACATTTTAAGCTCACTCATGCAGGATGTCACACCAGTACTTGTGTATTCAATAAAGAAGGAAAACAAACTTTTTTAAAATTAAAAATAAAGAAATTAAATAAAATGTCTTGAACATACAATAATGAAGAGAAAAAAAACGCTATTAATAATAAAAAAAATTCACAAATATCATCTATATTTATTATATCAATTATAATACGCACCCCCTCTACCAACTTCTTTTTGGGGGTAAAAAAGTGTGTATTATACACAGCTAAAGACAGAAGCAAATTTAGTGAAGTAATATTTCAAACAACTTCAATTTCACACCCCATAACTTTTTTTTTACAATCTTGGGCTAGTTAAAAGATGAAAATAAGTTTTATTTTTCTGTTTCCATTTTTAATTACAACAAACAGACTGACAAACAGATAGCACAGACCAAAAAACATAATGGCCCTCTCCCTTTGCAGGCGGAGCATAAAAATCATCAGGAAACACTTAAGAGTTACAAATAAATACAATGTTTTGATATATAGATAGATATGTTTTCTAATTGGATATGTCATATTCTTTAAAGTCTAATATGAGCATAATTGATATATATCTATATACATAGAATAATGTCATTTTTGTTTTTGATACTGACGTCATCAGAAAGAGTATCAGTGGCTTTAAACATGGTTTAATCCTACCTTTGACTTAAGGAGGTTTGGCAGGTGAAATGTCTCATAATCGAGATCAGTAAGGCCCAATGCATCCAAAGATGACCATTAACCAGTCAAATTTGCTTAAAAGTGACTTGGTGACCTTAAGCACTTTTGTGACCTTCTGACATTGGGGGGTGGGGGTGGGGGGGGGGGGGGGGTTCCCTTCTGGAGCCTTGTATCAAGTGAGCTCCCTAGGGTGGATGATGAAAGTACTGAACTAAAATTTAAATAAACTTCTTCCATACCTTTGTCAACAATGTTATAGAATCACTTGATTTAGATACTGCTATACAATTTTTGTTTATATAGATAGGATTAAGTTCAATGTACTAAAGGTCATATCATAAACAGGTTGTCATTAGGCTGACATGAAAATTTTTCTGACATAAGAAACAATAACCTTTTAAACTCACCATCCAGGAACAGGTTGTCTATGTGGATGTCTTGGTGGCACACGTAAAGGGTCATGGTCATCATCATGCAACCTTGACCTCTGAGGCCTTGAACTGGAAGGTTCAGATGAACTTCCTGACTTTGGTGATTTTGTTATTTCATCAATAATATCCTTTTTTAACTGCTTTGTCAGCTTCCCTAAATGTTTAAATGCCCTGAAATAAACATGATAAAGCAGAATTATTAAATCAATTTATTTTTCTAATTCTTAACCGAGTTATACTTTTCCCGAAGGGTTCATTATTTTTTTATAATTAAAAGGTAGTTCACTTGATCTCTGCTTTTCATTGGGTCTAAGATAATTATTAGAGAAACAGATTCCACCACAGAATACAGTACAATACCATATTTGTCCGCTGTTGACAGTTAAATTTTTTATATGATATATTTGAAATGCTCCGCCTGTAGCCTCACATTTTAAATTTGAAAATTTGATACTTTTGAGTGGAGAAATATGGTATGACACTAGATGTAGTGTTAGAATCTATATTGGATTTAGTGTTGGAATCTATATTGGATGTAGCGTTAGAATCTATATTGGATGTAGCGTTAGAATCTATATTGAATGTAGTGTTAGATTCTAAATGGTGAACAACATGTTTATTTTTTCATTTGAATTGTTTCACATTTTGTCATGTCTGGAATTTTACAGCAGACTTTATGAAATGGCTTTTACTCATTATTGATGTAGGGGGGACCTAAAGTTGCTTAAATCCATATCATATGGACTTTGGGGGATATCGTCTTAATTCTGTCATGATTAAAAGTCATTAGAACAGCGAATTTTAAATGGGTAGATCTGTATTAAGGGAGATAACTCTATAATAATAAGTAATCTGTATGTTATGGTCGGTTTCATTATAAATGCTAACTTTTTTTATGAAAATGGTTGACACAAACCTTTCGTTATTTTTTTGTTCCCCGTGTAACGCGTTGTGGGGGACATGGAAATACCGGGTGTCCGTCTGTTCGGTCTTTTTAGCACTCTCACAGGTACAATTCTTGCCAGATTTTTATAAAACTTATACTATAGGTTAATATCAGCAATATCTCGGACAAGTTCTATAATGGTGGCAGATCAACTTCTTTTAAAAGAGTTATACCCCTTGGGAATATTAAATTTATGGAAAAAGGCCTCGTTAGCACTCTCACGGGTACAATTCTTGCCAGATTTTTATAAAACTTATACTATAGGTTAATATCAGCAATATCTCGAACAAGTTCTATAATGGTGGCCAATCAACTTTTTTTAAAAGAGTTATGCCCCTTGGAAATAATAAATTTATGGAAAATGGCCTCATTAGCGCACTCTCGGGTATAATTCTTACCAGACTTTTATAAAACTTATGCTATAGGTTAATATCAGCAATATCTCGGACAAGTTCTATAATGGTAGCCCATCGACTATTTTTAAGAGTTATGTCCCTTGGAAATATTAAATTTATGGAAAATGGCCTCGTTTGCGCTCTCACGGGTACAATTCTTGCCATATTTTTATAAAACTTTTACTATAGGTTAATATCAGCAATATCTCAGACAAGTTCTATAATGGTGGCCGATCAACTTTTTTAAGAGTTATGCCCCTTGGATATATTAAATTTATGGAAAATGGCCTCGTTTGCTCTCTCACGGATACAATTCTTGCCAGATTTTTATAAAACTTATACTATAGGTTAATATCAGCAATATCTCAGACAAGTTCTATAATGGTGGAAGATTGACTTTTTTTAAAAGAGTTATGCTTCTTGGAAATATAAAATATGTGCAATAGGGGGACATTGGAACTCTGTTCTTTTATTTTAGTTTTGTCCCTTTTCCTTATATTATACTGATTTTATCATACTTTATTTCAGTAGAAATGAATGTAAAACTTTTGCTTAATCCTATGCCTGTACTGGAAGAGGTGACCTTTCTGCACGCACATTTGTAACAAGTTACAACCTATTGTGGACTCTACATATAAAATGACCTGCTGCAAACTTAATATGCTCCTATTCAGTTCACCATTTATACAGCTTTATTGTTCTGATACTTACTCATCAAAAGATGACAGGTCACCAGTTGTACAGCTTTACTAATCTGATACTTACTCATCAAAATACAACAGGTCACCAGTTGTACAGCTTTACTGATCTGATACTTACTCATCAAAAGACAACAGGTCACCAGTTGTACAGCTTTACTAATCTGATACTTACTCATCAAAAGATGACAGGTCACCAGTTGTACAGCTTTACTAATCTGATACTTACTCATCAAAAGATGATAGGTCACCAGTTGTGTAGCTTTACTATTCTGATACTTACTCATCAAAAGATGACAGGTCACCAGTTGTATAGTCTGAAGTGCTGATGTTTATACTTGTAACCTTCTCGGATTTAATATCCTGAAAACTCAATGAAAAGTTTAAGCTATAAATACATGAACTTAAAAAATTACCTTAAATAATCTATACTTCCTCAACATTTTGTTCATAGGGATCCTAATAGCAAAATAGTGTGTATAAAAATGGAATTTTTTTGTTTTGTTTGAGAATTTCGTTTCACATTTTTTCATATCAGGGCCTTTTATAGTTGACTATTAGAGTATGGATCTTGTTCAATTTTGAAGGCCATATGATGACCTATAAGTAGTATAATTACTTAAATCCATCTTATTTTGAATCTGATAAATAGTTGTCTCATGGGCAATCATACCACATCTCCTTGATTATAGAAGGTCACAATATATTTTATTACAATTCAATAAATGTGATTAACATGACAGATATCAGAATTGTATTCAGCATTTTAAACAGTGATTAACATGACAGATATCAGAATTGTGTTCAGCATTTTAAACAGTGATTAACATGACAGATATCAGAATTGTGTTCAGCATTTTCACAGTTGATAGCGGATATGTTCCTAATGTCGTAACTACAATCCAATCCCCTTTTCCCGAAATTAAGACTTATTACCGGGTTTCTACTAACATGAGCAACACGACTGGTGCCACATGTGGAGCAGGATCTGCTTCCCCTTCCGGAGCACCTGAGATCACCCCCAGTTTTTGGTGGGGTTCGTTGCTCAGTCTTTAGTTTTCTATGTTGTGTACTATTGTTTGTCTGTCTTTTTCTTTTTTAGCCATGGCGAGTTGTCAGTTTATTTTCGACTTATGAGTTTGAATATCCCTCTGTTATTTTTTAAACAATTAATATAAATATGTAACACAACCCTTTGCATTAGTTACAAGGTTTATTGTGCAAAATTTCAGAATAATCTGTCAAATAGAACAAAACTTTTGCATGGAAACCAATGTGTTTACAGATCAAAACCAATGACAGCACTATATATACACCTTTTTTAGATTGCAAAACTAAGGAAAATAAGTACTGTATTTGAAGAGCTACCATTGCAATAGGTAATTTTACCAGAAAAGTGCAGTTTTACTGAGTGGAGCAAAGCAAGTAGAGCATGTAGAGTAAAACAGATATTTGCAACCTTTAAATCCACAATTCACAGTGGTGACTCTTCAAATACAGTATTTTCAGTTATTCCTACATACAATTTTCACATTCTTGCATTTTCCTGTACTTTAATATCAAATATCAAAATGCCTTTATTAAGTCACAGTAAGAGAAGCTTGTTCCATGAGGTCATTTACACGATCAATGCTTATGAATGGGGCCCCACCCCCCTTTATCCTGGATTGGAACCCCCCCTTTGTGCACTGATGACTTGCATGAAGTCAAAATCAAAATGGGTCAGTTATATTTTGAATGACGCCAGAGATCAAAAAGGACATTTTTGTTGGTGCTGTTTACTAGCAAATTACATAAAATCGTTCTAAAAGTAAGCTAAATGTATTTTTACACTTTTTAATCATGAAATGGCTGGTTTTAATTATAGTTTTTGCTTCATCACTTCAAAATGGCTGCCTTATGAACAGCTTAGAAATACAAAAATTCTTAATTTTCCTATTAGAATCGAAATAATTTTTTCATATGGGACTCTATACTCCATGGTACTCATTTAAGCATGGTTTAGATTATATTTTTCACCATTTTGCACCTAGTACAGTGTAGTAGGTGTAAATATATTGACAAATATTTATTTGCATAACATTGTTAACATGGTTAAAATGAGCATAATTTCTTAATTCATATCACAGCAAAACATGATGTTATATGAATGAAAACTTTTAGCATTGAAGGTTATTCTATCATGTCTATAATTATTTGTACAATTCAAATTGGATATCATCTCTTTAAAACAGTGTTATCGAGGTAGCTATATCATTATGTTATCAGTCAGGGGACTTATTGAAATAAGTGATTTTTAAATCACTTATTTAAGTAGCAAATTCGAAGTTTTGTCACAAATTGTGATTTTTTAGTTTTACCAAAATTTTAAACTCATAGGTTTAGATAATATCTTTTCATTAGTAAAATTGAAAAAAATGAAGTTTTTGCTTCTATTACATGTATTAAGCAGCAAGTTTATGCCTTTGGTGCAATCATTTAGCTGCAAATTCTATTTTAGTTGAAAAAATGCTATAAAAATGGCTTTACATAATGAACTGATACTTTCTTAACAGATTTTTCCCAGCATTGGGGGTATTTTTCCTGTAAAGTTCAAGGTTTCATCTTATAGATTATGTAATAAAATTCTACTGTTCGCGATCAAAATTTCACTGTTCGGGGGTGTTGAAATTAGTGGGGGTTATTAAAATAATGATACTTAAAGAAGTGATTTTTTGAAAGTAAATTGAGGTATGATACTTAAGCAAGTGATTTTTATGTCATTATCCTAGATTTAGTACAAGGTCATCACCTGATATGACCCAGTCATCCTATCAACACAGATGCTGGTTCTGATAATTTTAGAAACATAATTAGTCCCTGGATCATTAGTATTCTATATTTAAAGCTACAATAAAATTAAATCACTTAGTCTAGTGATTAATTTGTACTACTTAAAAAGGTGATTATTAAAGAAAGACAACTCTTACTTCCAACCTTTATGGACATAATGTTACTTAAATGAGTGATTTAGAAAATCACTCATTTAAGTAAGTCCCCTGACTGGTTATATTAATTTCAGGAATTCAATATTGGGACTTAATTCCGAAGTTACACAAAAACTTGAATATAAACTTGTCTATCATGTCTATCATGTCTATTGTGGATTGAATTAAACAGTAGCGGAACAAAAATTACATAAATAAAAGTTTATATACTAACCATGAAATGGACCAGTAAGTCTTCATCAACTCTCATAATCTTTAGTATATAAACTTTGTCGGAGGAATCCTTGTATTGCAGTGTATACATGTCTTGATTATCATTCCAACCTTTCGGTAACATTTCACTCTTCTTCTGATTTTTTGCTTTCTGACAATAGTAAATAATAAAACTGAAAAATTATTCTTCATGTTCTATATACGAGATAAATTTAATTAAATTATAAATTTTATTACTTTTAAATGTAGACAATCTTTTCCAAATGTAACCAAACAAAATAAGCAATCAAATGAAGACATTTAGGGGTTAACAAATTCATGATATTGGCCTTCAATGATGGACGACTGCAAGTTTCCGTATCATATGTTCATGATGTTCAATGCCAGGATCTAAGATGCCAAGAGTGTGAAAATGTTGATGATTAATTCAACAAGTTGTATAGATGCCATTATGATTTGCATGATTTGGTTGACTGTTTTAATATGGACAGTCAGGGGACTTATTGAAATAAGTGATTTTTAAATCACTTATTTAAGTAGCAAATTCAAAGTTTTGTCACAAATTGTGATTTTGTAGTTTTACCAAAATTTTAAACACATAGGTCATGTAGGTTTAGATAATATCTTTTCATTAGTAAAATTGAAAAAAATGAACTTTTTGCTTCTTTTGTGCAGCAAGGTTTATGCCTTTGGTGCAATCGTTTAGCTGCAAATTATATTTTAGTTGAAAAAATGCTATAAAAATGGCTTTACATAATGAACTGATACTTTCTTAACAGATTTTTCCCTGCAGTGGGAGTAATTTTCCTGTAAAATTCAATGTTTCATCTTATAGATTATGTAATAAAATTCTACTGTTCGCGATAAAAATTTCACTGTTCGGGGGTGTTGAAATTAGTGGGGGTTATTAAAATAATGATACTTAAAGAAGTGATTTTTTGGAAGGAAATTGAGGTATGATACTTAAACAAGTGATTTTTATGTCATTATCCTAGATTTAGTACAAGGTCATCACCTGACATGACCCAGTCATCCTATCAACACAGATGTTGGTTCTGATAATTTTAACAACATAATTAGTGCCTGGATCATTAGTATTCTATATTTAAAGCTACAATAAAATTAAATCACTTAGTCTAGTGATTAATTTGTACTACTTAAATACGTGATTATTAAAGAAAGACAACCCTTACTTCCAACCTTTATGGACAAAATGTTACTTGAATCAGTGATTTAGAAAATCACTCATTTAAGTAAGTCCCCTGACTGATGGAATACAAATGTACATGTATCTGCCATGTCTGTCTCACAGATGACCACAGATATCTTCCAATTGTAGTAGCTTATTACAACCATGCCTTCTCATCCTTGATTGTCAGATTTTGACAGGGATCATCTGATGAACCTTAGTATCACCAATTGTACTTGCCATCAGCAACATCACTTAAGGATGCAATATGTGGAGCAGGTTATGCTTTACTTCTGTTTTGAAGCACCTAAGTTGAAATAGTGTTGCTTGATCAGTCTTTAGTTTCTTATGTAGTACATAATCATGATAATGTTTGTCTTTCGGTTATTTTGGGTTTTTTTGCCAGTCATAATGTTGTTGTCAATTTTTGTTTGGCCTACATTTTCATTCGTTCATTTAACCCACTTGCTGCAGCTAATTCAATATAGTTACATTTCGTGTGCCAGAAAATACTGTAGCATGACGTCTGTGAGATCACATGCCCAACTATGATGTCATTCCATATCACACTCTTATGATATTACAATGGAGACCCATTGTAGAAAAATATTACACTGTACAATCTACGATGTTTTATTTGAAAGAGATACAGTATAATGAATTTTTTTGTCTTAAAATTTTTGTCCTTAATAGTCCAATGTTTTAATTAATTATTTGAAAAAGTGGACAAAATCAAACATCAAAGAGAAAGAGGGGTTACACTAATGACAGGACGATTGCCTGGATAGTGACAGGACGATTGACCGGATGAGATATAAATAGTCAGAACTTTTTTGTTATTCGGTAGATTTCTTTAATATTTGTAGACCTTGGAGATATTAAACTATATTTTATGAAAATCAAACAAAAAAAGTGAAAAAAAATATTGTTGTGCAAATAAAGTTGACCAGACGGATTTCACACTCGCCGATGTATGCTATACATATATTCAACTGGTCGACAACAAGTGTTAATATCTCATTTGTTTTACAATATTTGTCAATGAAATTAAGGAATCTGTGAGAATAATAAATATATTATACGAAAATATCAACTTTATAGTAATAAAAAATGTTTTTCTGCAAAAAAAGTTGACCGGACGGTATTCACATTCGCCGATATATGCTTTAAATATATTGAACTGATCGACACAAATGTTAATATCTCTTTTATTTTACAATATATGTCCATGAAATTAAGGAATCTGTGAGATTAATAAATATATTATACGTAAATATATACTTTATAGTAAAAACTTTGAGCCCAAAATGTTGACTTGAGTGAGTTCACCGGCACACTAGAAGTACTGATATTTATTTAGATTACTATCTAATTTTGACACTTGTCGTAATCACCAATCAAGCCAAATAACATGTCATTAAAGTTTTCACACCTGAGACATCAAATACATTTAATTGAATTACCTTATATAATCAGTTGGCAATTAGAATCCAATCAAAGAAGAAATTTGATAAAGTGCGAGATTACAGATTAAGTTTTAACTCACCTAGTAATAACAGAGACATATAATACATTGTACAGAGAATCACAATTTACCAAGGACATACGAGCCGCGGTATAATTGTATTAATGTATATACCATGTACGGGAATATGTCAGACCCCTTCTAGGATTTGCATATTTGGAAAAGTCAGATATGTCTATCCAAGAGTATTTGATACTTACAGTTCTCATGTATAAACAACAAACACACCTACTTACCAAATCATTTAATATTTACAAACAAAGCAGGCTAAGTTACAAATAACAGAATAATAAGTCCATAAAATTTTTTCTTCTCACTATAAATTAACCACAAGATAATTAAGATAATTAAAATACACACCATAGTTCAGATTTAAATATCAAGATTAAATTTAAGGAAAAAAAACCAAAACTCACAATTTACTATAATATGAATATATAATACAGGTTAATTCCTAAATAACTACTCAATTGTTCAGTCATATATGCTCTGACTTTCAACGAGTTCAGATCTCACAAATTATAGTGCTACTATATATTGGTTTAATAGCATGTCTTTTTGAAGACATTTTTCAAATATAATTGATATATATACAAGTCTAAATTGAAAACAACGTTCAAACCTATGATTGCGTTGGACAAAAACCGCAATTTTTATACGTGTGCATGCATACATAGGCGAATGTGAATTCCGTCCGGTCAACTTTTTTTGAAGAACAATATATTTTTTTACTATAAAGTTTATATTTTCATATCATATATTTATTGATCTCGCAGATTCCTTAGTTTCATGAAAAAATATCGTAAAACAAAAAAAATATTAACACTTTTTGTCGATCAGTTCAATGTAATCAACGCGTACAACGGCGAATGTGAATACCGTCCGGTCAACTTTTTTTGCAGAAAACACATTTTTTTTACTATAAAGTTTATATTTCGTATAATATATTTATTAATCTCACCAAGGATTTGTATAGTGAGATCTCACTATACAAATCCTTGATCTCACAGATTCCTTAATTTCATGGACATATATTGTAAAATAAAAGAGATATTAACACTTGTGTCGATCAGTTCAATATATTTAAAGCATATATCGGCGAATGTGAATACCGTCCGGTCAACTTTTTTTGCAGAAAAACAATTTTTTTTACTATAAAGTTTATATTTTCATATAATATATTTATAAATCTCACAGATTCCTTAATTTCATGGACATATATTGTAAAACAAAAGAGATAGTAACACTTGTTGTCGACCAGTTGAATACATGTATAGCGTATACCGGCGAGTGTGAAATCCGTCCGGTCAACTTTATTTGCACAACAATAATTTTTTTCACTTTTTTTGTTTGATTTTCATAAAACATAGTTTAATATCTCCAAGGTCTACAAATATTAAAGAAGTCTACCGAAAAACAAAAAAGTTCTGACTATTTATATCTCATCCGGTCAATCGTCCTGTCACTATCCGGGCAATCGTCCTGTCATTAGTGCACCCCAAAGAGAAAGTAGAAATGGAAGAAAGCGAAAATAGAATTATTTTGACAACACCGAAAAGAACACCTCATCATCTCCTACTCCACAACATTTAAATTCATTTGAGATTAAATTCCAATGTATCACTGTCACAAGAGCATCTTCAGGCGATCGTAATTGATTAATGACGCTGCAAAATAAAACTTCTTGTCCAGCCATTTTTTACACGCAGTTGTCTCCCTTTACAAAGTTCCTTTCAGATGTAAACAAAGATGTCAGCGCCCATAAATAAAACATGTTTATCAAATTCTACTAAAATCAATAAGTATCTGCTGCAATTTGCAAATGAACATGTTGATTTCAGACATGCTGTAAGTTAATTCGAAACATCCTATCTTGTTGAGGCAAAACTGATTAACTTAAGCTTCATATCTGGTTTTCCTAGAGTGAACATAATTTTGTTGGTCCTGTATGACCAAGGTGAGCGACACAGGCTCTTTAAAGCCTCTAGTTTTATTCTTGGTCTAACGCAGCGACCAAGAATAAAAGAAGTGAGTGAGTGTGGAGATTTAATTTTAATAAGATTGCCACACCAGGAGGTTCAGAAATCAAAAATAATTTGCTTTCATAATATTTACATTTATGAGATATAACAGAGATGACCACAGTTATTCATACTGATTATTAAATGACATGGATCATGTTAGCAGAACGTAGAACTATTTGTACATTTAAACTTGATACATGCAGTCAGAGAAGATTATGCATACACCATGTACACTTTAAATCAACCAACTTGTTAACTTACATAAATTATCAAATCAGCCCGAATCGTCCTGAATATGCATGACTTATTTGCCACTGAATGTTAAGCAGCCAATAATCAATCAATTAAATCAGTCCTTATAACATGCATAACATAATATTAACTCCATCATCAGCCAAACACAAAATTATCATTCATTCTCTGTCTTAACTCTTAGCTGATTTATTCTTTTTCTGATCTGTTAATTTTTCTTTTTTATTCAGTGTGTGGTTTTGTTTTATCTCAGTTCTTCATTGGTTAAAATTCAATTATGAAGTTAAAATTTCTTTATTTCCTTTGAATTCCCACTTGTGACGTCATGACTTCATGCCTGATAACGTCACATAGAAAGAACACATCTTTTCTGATCATTAGAAAAGAAGGATTAAGTTTGTCTTCAAATCGTTAAAAAAATCATTAGATTCTACCACCAAATTGTATGCCAAAATAAAAACAACATTTTATCCACTCTCGACAGTTGAATTTTAAATTTTGAAATTGAACTGTATTGCTTGGAGAAATATTGTGTCACACTTATCATGTTGTCGGATCATCATGCTCATGATACAGTGGTAGAATCAATACATATACACATGTACATTATATATACAGCAATCGTAAAAACATAAAATATAATGATATAATGCTATTCAGCATAAGGCAATTGAATTATTGCATTTAACATTTTTCTTTAATGTGAAGACTGTTACAACAACAACACACTTCATATTTTATGTTTTTATCATAACCCTGCATATCAAGGTATGCACTTTAGGGATTCTATCCTGTTGAGCATTTACCAATTTGTAATTTTTCTTTAACATATATATGAAACTGGAAAACAAGAGTCAAATATTCAAAAAACAATAATACCTGTTTTACTGTGCATTTTGCTGTGTGTTTAGTTATTCTATATAGCTATATTGGCTAGAAGTATAGGGGAAGGTTTGAGATCTCAAAAAACATGTTAAGTATAAAAATAAGGAGATGAGGTATGATTGCCAACGAGACAACTATCGACCAAAGTTAAAAAAAAGTAGATGTAAGCAATTATAGGTAACCGTACAGCCTTCAACAACGAGAAAACCCATACAGTATAGTCGGCTATAAAAGGCCCCGACATGAAAAATATGAAACAATTCAATTGAGAAAACTAATGGTCTATTGCCCTCATTTATAACAACATAAACCCCGCCACATTTTTGCATCTGTCCCAAGTCAGGAAATTCTAGCCTTCATTTGTCTTGTTTGTTTTTTTTTAATTTTGGTTCATTTGTATGTTTTGGAGTTTAGTATGTCCTCCATTTTGCTGAACTAGTAAACTTAATTATTTAGGGGCCAGCTGAATCCCGCCTCCAGGTATGGAATTTTCTCCCTGTGTTGGAGACCCATTGGTGGCATTGGGTTGTTTTTTTGCTTTTTGGTCATGTTGTTGTCTGATTGTATCATTGACACATTCCCTGTTTCTATTCTCTGTTCTACTGTATATTATCAAGAATTATACCTGCAATGTGACAAATAACATGCCATGAAAACTGTTATAGGTACACACATGTATATGAAAAACATGTTGATTGTAAACAGCACACTTATGTTTTACCAAAACAAATACATCTGCTTCCTTTCTATTTCTGTTTTTTTTTTCAGGAGATAAAAGCCATAAGTGAATTGTTTGGTTTTACCGCAAAGGCTCTGGCAGAAGATAAATGTAGTTCAAGTCCTGGCGTAAGTCTTTAAATCTGTAAACCAACTTATTTTTGTGGATACTTTATTTTCAGTTGCTTTGCTGCAATTTATGAATAATCATGATAATCTAAGACTCAAATTAAAAATTCATGACGATTTATATTTGTGTTACTTTCCAAGTCAGAAAAATATTGCTCACCAAAGTTAGTTGGTTTACAGTAACTATAGCGTCTAATATAAAG